TCTCGCTTTTATCATGTGCTCATAGTCCAATCCCCTTGTTGTGTTGACCCTTGATCTAATGTCCACATATGAGGGAGAACATACGATTTTTGGTCTTTTGAGCCAGGCTAACCTCACTCAGAATGATGTTCTCCAATTCCATCCATTTACCAGTGAATAACATTTCGTTCTTCTTCATGGCTGCATAAAATTCCATTGTGTATAGATACCACATTTTCTTAATCCATTCGTCAGTGCTGGGGCATCTTGGCTGTTTCCATAACTTGGCTATTGTGAATAGTGCCGCAATAAACATGGGTGTGCAGGTGCCTCTGGAGTAACCTGTGTCACAGTCTTTTGGGTATATCCCCAAGAGTGGTATTGCTGGATCAAATGGTAGATCAATGTTTAGCTTTTTAAGTAGCCTCTAGATTTTTTTCCAGAGTGGTTGTACTAGTCTACATTCCCACCAACAGTGTAAGAGGGTTCCTTTTTCCCCGCATCCTCGCCAACACCTGTTGTTGGTGGTGTTGCTGATGATGGCTATTCTAACAGGGGTGAGGTGGAATCTTAGTGTGGTTTTAATTTGCAAGAAATAAATAACAATATTTTTAAAACAATACCTGTATTCTTCATAGATTTCTGCCCAAAGAGTATGTTTAATATAGACAGCTATGTTTTTCTAAATTATCATAACATTTGGTCTTATTTTAAATCATGAGATTATATTTGTACTTCCTAGCCACTCTGATTAGTCTCGTGTCAGTTACTTATTGTCTCTCAGCTTATAATTTTCCCGTCAATGCTTGCTCTACAATAACGAGTATCAGTCTTTCAAGCATTTCTGGTTCATGGCAAGCATGATGTTAGCTTGCTCAGTAGCAGCCACTTGAGGGATATTGCTCATTCCAGCTGCTATGTGGCTGGGTGGTAGGTGTGGGACATCCAGTGGTGCTATGGCTCTGTTGTGACCCAGAAAAGCAGTTGCTTCCTATTTGCTTGGTCACTATGGACATGCATGGCCAGGGCAACCCAACAAACTTCTCTGCCATCAGCTACCGGCCCTCAACTAATTGGAAGCTGAAGGGTAGTCACTAACATAGAAGCACAGGATCGCTGGCATCAAAACTGAGGTAACTACTTTTAGTGTGTGTGTGTTCGTGTGTTTTGTGAGATAGGCTTTTGCTATGTTGCCCAGGCTGGGCTCAACAGATTCTCTTGGCTCAGAATCATGAGTAGCTGGAACTACAGGCATGCACCCAACTCATCTATATTATATGTCTAGCCTTAGAGGCACTAAGTCCTTAATTTTTTTGTTTCTATTTTTTCCCAGCTTCCCACTCAGAGGTACAAATCGTAATACTTAACTTTAGCATTTCAGGTTAATAGTAGTTGTTCATAATGAAAATAAAAACAAAAATATCCTTCCTGCACACTTTTACCAGGAAGTCGCAAAGAGAACCACTACTGAGGAAACGTGAATTGATGTATGAGTGGTTATGCCGGAAATCACTCAGGCTATCACTGAAGAACAAGCCAAGCCCTTCAGTAAGTAGAATTACCCCAGCTATAGTACACAACTTAGAAGGCTGCAGTTACAGCCTAAGCTTTTGTGCCGGACAGACCTAGGTTCAAATCCTAGTTGGGGTCCTTCTGAGCTTTGATCAACTTATGTCATCTCTGAGTTTTTATGTATACTCTATGCAGGAGGTATACTGCAAAGTAGGGTATGTCTCCCACACAGAATTGAGGAAAATAACAAGATAAGCAGCCACTACAATGATCAATTTTCTCATTTCTTCATTTTGAAGGTTAAGAATTTGAAGCACAGAAATAGTTTTTGCCAAGAGCACAGTAATTTATAGATAAAGCTGAAATGAGGCTTAAAATGTTTCTGACTTAATAAGCATACGAACTTGGATGCCTACTTAAAAAGTGTGTATTGACAAAATTTGTGCTATCGGCCAGTACTACTGGGAAGGATGAGAATTTATTAAGTACCATTCTAGAGCTTCCTGATAAATACCATTCCTCATCAAAAAGATGAGGAAGCCACTGATAAGTATAAAATAAGTGCAACTTATGTGATTAAAAATTTAACACCTTACTTTATATGCTATTTCATGCTTTATAAAGTGCTATGACTAATGAGTACTTGTTCACAACAGCAGCGGCTTTAAAAAAACACATCTTTTCATGACAGGAGTAATGAAGAATTTCATAAATTAAGAAATTAAAAGAACCATTTCAGATGTGAAAAAGGCAACTCATACCTACTTAATGATTGTGCTAATATTTTCTCAACTTTTAACAGAAACCCACATTTTCCTTAATTGTATATGTCATTTACAATAGTTTCAATCTAAAGAGTTAAACAGTATTTACTTTCTCAGGAAGAAAAAGGTAGCTTGGACTTGTTATGAAAAACAGATAAGTGATAAAAATGTGAATAAAAACAAAGAAGCTACTAAGAGAGGCTGATAATCATCTTACAAAGTACATCTGTATACTGTATTATTATTTCAATTAAATGGTGTCTTCAGTATTATAAACATGGACATACCACTTTCTCCCAACCCTGCCTGCCTCTATTACCTGAAACCAATGGAGATACTAGAAAAAAACTGAAACATAAGACTACTCAAAATGACTTATTAAAAGACTATTGTCTTCTGAAATATACCACTTGTTATATGTATCAGAATCTTACTCCTTTTGTTATTGGCAAATGTGAGGCAAGAGGCATTTGTTCTGGATGGGAAGTTACAATATTGTTGCTAGTGTCTAACAGAACATACCCACCTGCATATTCATAATTTGCTTCAGCATCCTCACGTGTTGAACATGCCTCCTTTTCTTCCTTCTTTATAAACATCAACCTAGTGCAGATCACAATCAACTCCTGCTTCATTACTGCAAAATTTGCAGCTATTTCCTGCAGATTGGCATCTTCTCTGCTTTAACCTACATAGCACATTATGGTCAGATTAACCTTAAAGTAATGTGCACTGTTACTTCTTTCTTCACAAATCAGAAACATTTCCCATTAAAAGCATATTTAAATGAATGGTTTTTACCTGTATGAAAGAGTTCTTTCACTTCTTCATTGTGCAAGCCCAGACCAAGCCCATCTTGATGCAACATGCAATGAAGACAAATTTTCCTTGAAAACTAAGATTTAAATGCCATTCTATTTTTCTCCTACTCTTCCTACAATATATGAACTCACAGCACCACCTACCTTTCAGTGAAAGGTTAGAAAACTAGCTTTACTCTTCACATAATGCCCGTATTGCTGGCCTATAAAATTTACTGTGAAGTTCAAATTGCAAAAGAGAAAAAAAATCTGACAATAGAAATTCCGTTTGACATTATCTAAAATACTTCTAACAGCATATGTAAATACTTCTAACAGCATATTTCTTAGCAGTGTTTCAAGAGTCTGGCCAGCATACAGACAATTTTAATTTAGCAAAACACAGTAAAAAGACTACCTATAAATGTTAATTAGAAATTATAATCGGGTAAATGGAGCCATCTTGACTTTAAAATCACCCAAGTTATGCCCAAGTGTTAACTGGAATTTATTGCTTTTCCTTAGAAATCTTCCCAATATTTTAGTCATTCCCCATGTTTAAATAGGAAAAAAAATGACCAGGTAAACAATTTCATTTTCCTGTCCTCCTGACGTCTGTGTTACTAAATTAATAATATAATGTGGGAGGGGCTTTCTGATGCAGACAAATTAAAACTAAGTGTACCATATTCCTTCTTCAAACCAGTGTTGTTATTCTTTGATCTCAAGCTGCAATAGAATTCTTTTCAGAAATGATCATTTCCTAACAAAAATCTGGTCACTTTAGGAATACTATAGAAATTAGTCAGAATGAACGTGCATTTGGACTAAAACCTGAGAAGTCAAACCATGAAAAGCAACTGGTTTTATGAAATGAACAGCCATGCTGTCCATGAAGAATTGTCTTCAGTTCATGTAGTACTTCTGCTCAGTTCAGAACAATCCTGCACAGCAGGCCGGGGTGAAAGCCACCTCCCTCTGATCACAGGGAAATGGACATACTACTGCTAACAGACATCCATCCATGTTGAACAGAACTCCAAGCCAAGGTCTACTCATGGCTGCCTCATGCTCTACTACTCAGATATAAAAATCAGAAAAAAAAATCTAAATAATTTCAGTTAAAACTGAGCTCAAACATAATGTTACTTATAGAAGTAGTTTTTTGGCAGTTCTGGTGTTTGAACTCAGGACCTCACCTGTGCTAGGCAGGTGCTCCACAACTAGAGCCACTCCACCAGCCCCTTAGAAGTTCTTTAGAAGACTGCATTTAATTATGATTTTCAGTAAACTTGAAGAGTTTCAAAATAACTTTTTAAAAAACAGCTTGTTAAACTGAGTAATAGAATTAAGCATTTTTTAAACTGATATATTAGAGCATTAATTATTTCAGAAGGCTCTTTTGTTGGAGTTTATAGTTCATTATGTCATTCCTGATACAACTTGTACCATATAGGTCTTCTGTCTGGTGATTTATGTCAACTGATACCAAGAGAAGACTTTTTTTGACTAATGAATTAAATTACCATTCATTACCATCCAATTTAAATACAGTTATCTTGCCAGTGTAGCAGAGTTTCCAAAAGGGAGGAAGAGGCTCTTCTAACATTTTTGACTGGTGAAATTTTCGTATTATTGATGGACTAAAATGAGTTTTTCTCATCTGTCCTGCCTCATAAGTCTTCTGCTCTTTCCAAAGATGTACATTGCTTATCCATTACTTTTCTAATGGTCATATTAATTTTAAATTCCTCATTTCCTCCTTAAGAGTCCCTTTTAAGATATCCCAGAGAAGTTACTAATATACTTCACGGTTTTACTAATAAACTCCTATGTCCTAACATTTAAAGTAAAATTAAAAAATTTTAAAATTTTCTCACATTTTATTGCCCAGTACAAACTTGATTCAAATGAACTAAGAAACAACATTTTGTATTTGAATCAACATTAACTTAGAGACTTCTGGTAGGAGGTAACACATTATATTTTAACATATTAACACTCAGCATGAGTTTAGATGTTTTAACCATAGTTTTTCATTCAACCAAGCAACTTTTTTTGGTCTCTTCATTTGTATGTCTTTATTTTTTTCTTCTTTAGAAGTTCACAGTGTTACAGAAGTGAAAAATAAGACTGTTAGAAACATACATGGCTTTGAATACATAACAATTTTAATAATGTTGTCACAACCCTAATGCAGTGTGACCCTTATTTATTTACCATTATCCAGAATAAACCTCCGTACATAGTAAATTGTTCAAGTATTTCTAGAGCAGTGCTTATAAAAGAGGTCTCACTGCTAACTTAATGGGCATCTATTTGAATCCCACTTCTAACTTTAACACAATTAGAGTTCTATCAATTTTTTGAGTTTACAATGAATGCATCATACACATTCTCCAGTATTCTAAAATGCTCAAAATGAGCCAAACATATAATTTGATTTGCATCTTCTATACAGCACCAGAGGATAACAATGGATCTGACTAACCAAATATTCTCTTTCCTTTATTAGTTACATTTATCATCCTTTATTTCTACAACAATAAACCAACATTGAAAATGAAGAGAATTCAGGTCAAAGGCTTTCTTTCACCAAATAAATAAGCATTTCATTCATGTCATACTTAAATACTTAATCATCTTCCTATTGTGTGTTTCCTGATAACAGCTATCCACTTAACTTCTTGTCTATGAGACTAAGCAAGTCTGATAGGATTCTCTAGGTTTGCTTTAAAACTTTCAAGAAATCTGGTAGCCAGTGCATCATCAACCACTCGGCTATCGCTTGACATGGTGACTGTTATAAGCTGGTGCCGCTCAAGCTTGGTGTTCCCCTCTTCATCCTCAGTGAGTCTCAGCACAGGTCGGAATCTCCCAACAGCCAAAATACAGGCCTGAGGAGGGTTGATCACTGCAGTGAACTCATCAATGCCAAACATCCCCAAGTTGGAAATACTAGAGGGGGAAAAACAAAAACAAAAAAACCCTCTAAGGTGGCATGGCCCAAAGCACATATTTTTACTCTATTAAAAAGCTGTGCTGTGCCACTGGACCTTCTACCAAGTTATTCAAAGACCAAAGAATACATAGTAGTATACATGCAAATATTATATCTACCATTGTATATTCAGCATTGAGCTAGAGGTCCTAGACAGTAAAGTATGGCAAGAAAAAGAAATATAAGGCATAAGTACTAGAGAAAAGAAATAAAATTATCCTTATGTGTAGATGAGTCCACTGTGCACAGAGAAAATCTAAGGTTGTACTGACAAACTAATAACATTAATATGCAAGTTTAAGTCACTAGAAAAAGGGTCAATATAACTATATCTACTTATAAGCTGTTAACATTCAACAGTGAAATTTAAAAATTTAAAAACAAATACCAAGTAATAAATTTAATGACAGTATATGACCATTACAAAGAGACTTAACTGAAAAAATCAAAGGAGTCAGTAAGACTCAATACAGTGAAGATGTCAATTTTTCTCAAACTGGTTAAAAGACTTAATGCAACCCCAATCTAAATCCCAGCAAGGCATATGGGGTGTGCATGTAAACAGGATGACAAACTGACTCTGGGAGAAAAAGAAAAAGAGAACTCTGACTTTTATTAAACATCATATAAAAATTCAGTTTCAAGGGCCAGGTGTAGATACATGATTGTAATCTCAGCTCATAGGAGGCTCATGATCTGAGGGTGGCCCTAGAAAAAACACAGACCCTACCTAAAAATAACTAGTGCAAAAAGGGCTGGGGGCATGGCTCAAGTGACAGAGTGCCTGCCTACCAAGTGCAAGGCCCTGAGTTCAAACCCTAGTACGTCCAATAAAAAAAAAAATCCAACTTATTTCATCTATGTGTGAAAAGTAAAGTTATAATGCTTCTTGATGATAGCACAGAAGAATAACACATTAGGCAGACAAAAAATTCCTAACAGAAAACAAACAGCACCAACTAGGAAGAAAAATAATGATAAGCAAGAACTCAATAAAATTCAAAACTTCTGTTCATTAAAAAATAAATAAATCACTGAGAATCAAAGGCAGGACAGAGTGGGAAAAGGTATTTGAAATAAAATGTATCCACAAAGGTATGGATATCTGGAAATACCAACTCCTACAAATCAATTTTAAAAATGGATGCAAGAATTCAACAGTTAATGAGTTATCAGATACTCAAATGGCTGATAGGTGAAAATGTATTCAACAGTATTAATTTGAACTTCCTTGACCACAAAGAGTAGCACTAAACTCTCAACTCTTAAAATTGAAAACCTAACATTAAAAGGTTGGCAAGAATGTGGAGCACTGGGAATTATCATGCATTGTGATAGAAGTGTAAATTTGCAAAACCAATTTTGGAAAATTGTTTGGCACTATCTATTTAAGAGCTTTTTACCCAGGAATTCTACTTTTATGTCTATACAACAAAAATGTGCACATATCTTTACCATAAAACACGAGTAAGCACATTCAAGGCACCAGTATTTGTAATAGCACCAATCTGAAAACATACAAATACCCATCAAAAGTAAAATGGATATTGGACTTATATGACAGAATTCTACAACAATAAATGAATGGCTGCTTCATATAGCAATATGGTGAATCTCTCAGATATTAGTGACCAGAAAAAAAAATCAGACAATAGAGAATACATATTTATATAAAGATAAAAACCAGCAGAAGAAACCTAGAATCATTTTCAGAATGTGCAGAGTGATGATTCAGAAGGATAAAGGGAGGAGTCTGGAATGTTGACAGTGTTCTGTGTCATTCTTTGGGAGGTAACACAGGTTTCTTTACTCTGCAAAAACTTCAATCTATATTCAGTATATTTTGCCATATGTATGTAACACTTAAAAACAGAACTGGTAATAAAAAGGTTCATTCCCCAATACTACAAAAACTAAATGAAAATAAACAGATGCAGAGAGAAAACAGCTGATGCTTATAAATCTATTATTTATAAATTTATTAAAAAGTAAGAGTTTAAGAAAGAGAATGTCATTTGTGCTACTTAATGTCCATCCCAAAGAATGCTTATTCAGTACTATTGGGTCCCCAGTTTTTGATATGAAAGCCTGACTAGTCTGAAGAATACTTTCACTTGTTCTGTTATCTTAATAAAGTATATGATATTTAGCCTAAATTTTATTGGGGGGGGGGCTTCTTAAAATTTTTATTTCATCATTTTTACGCTTACTCACATGCATATACATTGTTTGGGCCGCATCCCACCCCCACCACCCTCCGCCACCCCCCTAGCTTAAATTTTAGAAAGATTTCAGATAAATAAGTGAAAATTGTGACATGGACTTATTAAGTCTTACTTCTACTTGTTTGATGCTACTAATAATTCAGAATTTAATATTACCTAAAAGATCCTCCTTGGTATTCTTCAGGTAACAATTTTCCATCTCTTGCTTTCTTTGACAGAGCCTGACAACAAAAACATGTTATAATCATGTCACTTGAAATATTGGTAGGCAGTATACATAAACTCTCTGATATATCTTGATTTGACTTTACAAGATGTAAGACATACATTAAGTAATTTTCTCTAACCCAATTATAAGAATAAGCTGCAGCACAGATAATGCAAGAATCTAAAGAAATTAGTCAAAATTTCCTAAAAGTTCAAATATTAGACTTTCCCTGTGTACCAATACTTAGGCAGAATGGTTCAGTATTTTCTACAATACAGAACGCAATTTTCTATTTTGCCTATAACATTTTTCCTTGTAAGAAAAATATTAAAACAAGCCACTGTTAATCTTTAAAGTAAGTATCCAATGATAACCAATGAGATATACCCACAATCTCACAACCAACACAACAGTTTTTATCTTTTAGTGTTTTCTTCATTTTTATTAAAAACATATATAACCTCAGATGATGGTAAAGAAAAAACAGAATTTTATATTTAACTTCTTGGTATTGTATATATAATATGTGTTTCTGGTCTTCTAGCTAATTTTTAAATGTCTGCTTAACAGTCTAAAGAATGCATTTGCCATAATTTAGTCATTTTCCCAGTGTTATAATTTATTTGGTTCATGGGTTCCTTCTGAACACTTTCAAAAAAATTTTCAGAAACAAAATTACAGTGCCCTGGAACCTAGCCTTTTTTGGTTCTTGATTCCCTAGCTGAAATGTCTCCTGAATGAACTACTCCTAATTTACACTGTCACAAGCAATACAAGAATGTACTAGGTACATAATCACTCTCTACAATACTGACTTTTGAAAACTTACAGAGGGAAAGAGATGACACTGAGAGTAACATTAAGAAAAGTGAAGTTTCCTTCTCACTGCACTTAGAATTAACCATTTACTTTTCAATGCTAACCTTTACCTTTCAATGCTTCAAAAGCAAGGAAACAGAAATTGAGTTATCACATATTAAGAATTAATATGAATTAATTTATGAGAAGGGTAAAGAACAATAAAGTCATTATCATTTGGGTAGATAAAATATATCTGGGGCTTACTTAATATTTTGTATTACAAAGCCAACATAGACACATTACAATCACAACAGATAATTATTTAATTTTATACCATAGGTAACTTAATTTTTGAAAACTAAAGCATTCTTTAAAAATCTCAAAAGTTCCGGGTGCCAGTAGCTCACACCTGTAATCCTAGCTACTCAGGAGGCACAGATCAGGAGGATCGCGGTTTGAAGCCAGCCTAGGCAAATAGTTCTGCGAGACCCTATCTCGAAAAAAACCCTTCACAAAAAAGGGCTGGTGGAGTGGCTGAAACTGTAGTCCCTGAGTTCAAGCCCCAGCACCAAAAAAAAAAAAAAAAAAAAGTCTAAAATTGATCTCAATGTATTAATGTAACTTACTACCAACAGAAACTATAGATTTATGCTATTTGTACAGTTACTTATAAACTGTTTAAATTGGAAGTGAAAAAGGAAGAGGATCTCTATAGTCCTTGAAATATCAGTAACAGAACTATCTACAAACACATTTTTCTGCCTTCAGCATATAACTGTGCACATGATCTGAGCAGACACATGAACTTTATCAAATCATTAAAAAAGAAGTCATTCAAATGAACTTTAAATGACTTTTAATTTTTTTTTAAAACTGGGTTTGAATTTAGGACTTTGTGCTTACAAAGGAGGTGCTCTACTCTTGAGGCACACCTCCAGTCCATCTCTGATTATTCTGGAGATGGCATCCCACAAACTATTTGCCTGGGCTGGTCTTGAACTGGGATCTCCCAATCCCAGTCTCTCAAGTAGGTAGGCACGGGTCACCAGCATCCGGCTGAATGACATTTTTTAAAGGCAGATGGTCTCAACATATCCTGATGAGTTACCAGGGTATAACAGATGAAAAATATGCAAATCATTTTAAGAACTAGATTCAATTATATATACTATACCTAAAAAAAATCTTTATGGACCCTCAATACATCAGCAGAATATTCCTTTCAATGAACTCTGAGGCTGTATAAAGTATGAGGAGAATCATTTAATTCTGAAAATCTGTAATCCGCACTGGGATCTCTTGGCAATGTGGACTTAAAATCAAAGTACATGTCATCTAAAGTATTCAGCTGAAAGGATGTAAGAAAAGACGCCTAGCAAATATTTCTATAGTATTTCACATGCATTGATAATTCATTAAAAAAAATTTACTAGGTACTTATGAGATAAATTTTGCTCCTGCCGTTTAAGGAAGAATTAGGCACAGCAGGGAAGCTAGGGCTTATTACTCTATCATTCAGGGAATACACACTTGAACTTAGTGGGGAATGCCTTTAACTCTGGACACTGACATCCTTGGGATTACTGAGAGACAAAGTAAATATGTAACACAAGTATACTTAACCAGATGGGGGTTAAAGGATCCACAAACCCTTGAAACGTCAGAAAATTGTTTTATTGACAAAAATTTAAAAATAAATTTGCCAAGCAACTACTACATTGCAAGCACTGTTCTAGAATTGAACATGTGGTGATGAGTAAGATTGTCAACATCAGTCCAGTCCATAGGGAACACAGAAGACTCCGCAAATAAATAAGGCAATTTCAAAGACTGATAAAAGGGTAATGGGTTAGAATGTTAAGAAACTAGGCAAGCTATGGAAGCTACAGAAGGCCTGTGAAAGTGACATCTGAATTGAGACATGAATGATGAAAAGGAGAAGTATGTCCTGGATGCTGTGCATCGCTAGCAAGAGTCCCAAGTTGCCTGTTTATGATCTCAGAGTCCCTCAGAAAGACTGCTCCCACCTAACCAGCTAGTGTTGTAGGTTCTCTTGTTCACTGCCTGCCTGCTAAGGCCCAACCTCACGTTCCTGCAGAATCTTCACTGCTTCTTTGGTGCACGACACTCCTAATTCACTTCTCTCATTTTCTAACACTTTTTGCCCCAGTTCGTTTCTCAAGTTCTGAGCCACAAGATTGGGTGGAGGTGTCTTGAAATGTATCCCTGTGGCTTTATTAACTGCTACTTGTATCCCAGTAAACCAATCTATTAACTGTTACTTTTAAACTGGCCAAATTAATACCACCTTGCAATCAAGAAAAATAGTTGCATTTTTATCTATACACTTAGAGTCTGCAGATCTTTTCAAAGAATGAAGACCTACAAATGTCAATTGTACTAAGTTCACCTTTAATTATATGCAACTCAAAAATTCTAAGTTAAGTACAATAATTACCAGTATGTGTTTAAAAATAGATCAACTTGCATTCATTTATTTATTTTGGGCAAATAGGTCTATACATTTACATATTGTTAGCTTCCCAAAGAAGTCTTATTTTCTGCCTTTTATCTACCTTATAACTTTTTCTACCTCTAAACATACAACAGGTCCTTGGTCAACAGAAAAAGAAAATTATCACTTACCCAAACGAATCTGGACATTTCAATATAAACATGTTGAGACGTGGTACTTTTCCCAAGAAATACCCCTGGAAATCACTGTAGCAGTCAAAGCTGACCCACTGTCTGTATTCCTGTTTATTCAATGTGTTATTTTTTTGGAAAATTAAACTTCTCCAGATTGGAGTCATAAAAACTGCTTTACAAGAGACCCAGGAAAAAGAAAAGTTATTTACCTCTGGAATGCTGAGTACTTTTAGTGGTTTCAAGTTTAGAGAGGAAATGAATAGAATAAACTTTAAGAGTGGAATATTGTTAGCACTGAGGTCTAGCCATTCCCATGTCTGTAGAAACACAGTTTCATCTTACTTCAACTTTAAAATGTATTTGAAAAAACACTGAACTGAAATCTAGACTTTGTGAAATAAAGCTTTTGTCTAGAAAGCTTATGAATGAGGTTGACCTCCAATTTATCTAACATTATTTCTGAATTTTTTGAATATAAGATTTTCATTAAATGGGTCATACCTAGATAAAAACTTAAAAACCTAAGTACATAGATGAGAATCACTTGGAATAATATTCCCTCCCCACAGAAATCCCTGTGTGACCAGATCATATTAAGGCTATCAAAAAGTAATTAACTGAAAATACATTCAAACATTTTGAAAGCATAGTCTTTCTTAAGACATACCTTTAGTTTGACAAAATGGATTAAAAAAGAAGATCCAACAATTTGTTGCTTACAGGAGACTCATCTCACCGACAGAAATAAGCATATGCTTAGGATGAAAGGCTGGAAGAAGATTTACCAAGAGAATGGCCCCCGAAAACAAGCAGGAGTAGCAATACTTATCTCTGACAAAGTAGACTTCAAACCTACATTGATCAAATGAGATAAAGAAGGACATTCCATACTAATAAAAGGGGAAATAGACCAAAAGGAAATAATAATCATCAATCTGTACGCACCCAATGTCAACGCACCCAATTTCATCAAACATACCCTGAAAGACCTAAAAGCATATATAAACGCCAACACAGTGGTTGTGGGAGACTTTAACACTCCATTATCATCAATAGATAGGTCATCCAAACAAAAACTCAATAAAGAAATCCAAGATCTAAAATATGCAATAGATCAAGTGGACCTAGTAGATGTCTACAGAACATTTCATCCAACCTCTACACAATATACATTCTTCTCAGCAGCCCATGGAACCTTCTCCAAAATAGATCATATCCTAGGGCACAAAGCAAGCCTCAGCAAATATAAGAAAATAGAAATAATACCATGCATACTATCTGACCACAATGCAGTAAAAGTAGAACTCAACAACAAAAGTAAAGACAAAAAATGCAAACAGCTGGAAACTAATAACTCATTACTTAATGAAGAATGGATCATCGATGCAATAAAAGAGGAAATTAAAAAGTTCCTGGAAGTCAATGAAAATGAAAACACAACCTACTGGAACCTATGGGACACAGCTAAGGCAGTCTTGAGAGGAAAGTTTATAGCCATGAGTGCATATATTAAAAAGATTGAAAGATCCCAAATCAATGACCTAATGATACATCTCAAACTCCTAGAAAAACAAGAACAAGCAAATCCCAAAACAAATAGAAGGAGAGAAATAATAAAAATAAGAGCTGAAATCAACGAAATAGAAACCAAAAAAACCATACAAAGAATTAATGAAACAAAAAGTTGGTTCTTTGAAAAAATAAACAAGATCGATAGACCCCTGGCAAACCTGACTAAAATGAGGAGAGAAAAAACCCAAATTAGTAGAATCAGGAATGCAAAAGGGAGATAACAACAAACACCATGGAAGTCCAGGAAATCATCAGAGACTACTTTGAGAACCTATATTCAAATAAATTTGAAAATCTAAAAGAAATGGACAGATTTCTAGATACATATGATCATCCAAAACTGAACCAAGAGGAAATTAATCACCTGAATAGACCTATAACACAAAATGAAATTGAAGCAGCAATCAAGAGTCTCCCCAAAAAGAAAAGTCCAGGACCTGATGGATTCTCTGCTGAATTCTATCAGACCTTTAAAGAAGAACTGATACCAACCCTCCTTAAACTGTTCCATGAAATAGAAAGGGAAGGAAAACTGCCAAACACATTTTATGAAGCCAGTATTACACTTATCCCAAAACCAGGCAAAGACACCTCCAAAAAGGAGAACTATAGGCCAATCTCCTTAATGAACATTGATGCAAAAATCCTCAACAAAATAATGGCAAACGAATTCAGCAACACATCAAAAAGATTATTCACCACGACCAGTAGGCTTCATCCCAGGGATGCAGGGGTGGTTCAACATACGAAAATCAATAAACGTAATAAACCACATTAACAGAAGCAAAGACAAAAACCACTTGATCATCTCAATAGATGCAGAAAAAGCCTTTGATAAGATCCAACATCATTTCATGATAAAAGCTCTAAGAAAACTAGGAATAGAAGGAAAGTTCCTCAACATTATAAAAGCTATATATGACAAACCTACAGCCAGCATTATACTTAACGGAGAAAAATTAAAACCATTCCCTCTAAAATCAGGAACCAGACAAGGATGCCCACTATCTCCACTCCTATTCAACATAGTACTGGAATTCCTAGCCAGAGCAATTAGGCAAGAAGAAGGAATAAAAGGAATACAAATAGGTAAAGAAACTGTCAAAATATCCCTATTTGCAGACGACATGATCCTATACCTTAAAGACCCAAAAAACTCTACTCAGAAGCTTCTAGACATCATCAATAGCTATAGCAAGGTAGCAGGATATAAAATCAACATAGAAAAATCATTAGCATTTCTATACACTAACAATGAGCAAACGAAAAAGAATGTATGAAAACAATTCCATTTACAATAGCCTCAAAAAAATCAAATACCTAGGTGTAAACCTAACAAAAGATGTGAAAGACCTCTACAAGGAAAACTATACACTTCTGAAGAAAGAGATTGAGGAAGACTATAGAAAGTGGAGAGATCTCCCATGCTCATGGATTGGTAGAATCAACATAGTAAAAATGTCGATACTCCCAAAGTAATCTACATGTTTAATGCAATTCCCATCAAAATTCCAATGACATTCATTAAAGAGATTGAAAAATCTACTGTGAAATTTATATGGAAACACAAGAGGCCACGAATAGCCAAGGCAATACTCAGTCAAAAGAACAATGCAGGAGGTATCACAATACCTGACTTCAAACTATATTACAAAGCAATAACAATAAAAACAGCATGGTACTGGCACAAAAACAGACATGAAGACCAGTGGAACAGAATAGAGGATCCAGATATGAAGCCACACAACTATAGCAACTTATCTTTGACAAAGGAGCTAAAAATATACGATGGAGAAATAGCAGCCTCTTCAACAAAAACTGCTGGGAAAACTGGTTAGCAGTCTGCAAAAAACTGAAACTAGATCCATGTATATCACCCTATACCAAGATTAACTCAAAATGGATCAAGGATCTTAATATCAGACCCCAAACTCTTAAGTTGATACAAGAAAGAGTAGGAAATACTCTGGAGTTAGTAGGTATAGGTAAGAACTTTCTCAATGAAACCCCAGCAGCACAGCAACTAAGAGATAGCATAGATAAATGGGACCTCATAAAACTAAAAAGCTTCTGTTCATCAAAAGAAATGGTCTCTAAACTGAAGAGAACACCCACAGAGTGGGAGAAAATATTTGCCAATATACATCAGACAAAGGACTGATAACCAGAATATACAGGGAACTTAAAAAACTAAATTCTCCCAAAACTAATGAACCAATAAAGAAATGGGCAAGTGAACTAAACAGAACTTTCTCAAAAGAAGAAATTCAAATGGCCAGAAAACACATGAAAAAATGCTCACCATCTCTAGCAATAAAGGAAATGCAAATTAAAACCACACTAAGATTCCACCTCACCCCTGTTAGAATAGCCATCATCAGCAACACCACCAACAACAGGTGTTGGCGAGGATGCGGGGAAAAAGGAACCCTCTTACACTGTTGGTGGGAATGTAGACTAGTACAACCACTCTGGAAAAAAATTTGGAGGCTACTTAAAAAGCTGGACATCGATCTACCATTTGATCCAGCAATACCACTCTTGGGGATATACCCAAAAGACTGTTACTCCAGAGGCACCTGCACATCCATGTTTATTGCGGCACTATTCACAATAGCCAAGTTATGGAAACAGCCAAGATGCCCCAGCACTGACGAATGGATTAAGAAAATGTGGTATCTATACACAATGGAATTTTATGCAGCCATGAAGAAGAACGAAATGTTATCATTCGCTGGTAAATGGATGGAATTGGAGAACATCATTCTGAGTGAGGTTAGCCTGGCCCAAAAGACCAAAAATCGTATGTTCTCCCTCATATGTGGACATTAGATCAAGGGCAAACACAACAAGGGGATTGGACTATGAGCACATGATAAAAGCGAGAGCACACAAGGGAGGGGTGAGGATAGGTAAGACACCTAAAAAACTAGCTAGCATTTGTTGCCCTTAATGCAGAGAAACTAAAGCAGATACCTTAAAGCAACTGAGGCCAATAGGAAAAGTGGACCAGGAACTAGAGAAAAGGTTAGATCAAAAAGAATTAACCTAGAAGGTAACACCCACACACAGGAAATCAATGTGAGTCAATGCCCTGTATAGCTATCCTTATCTCAACCAGCAAAACCCCTTGTTCCTTCCTATTATTGCTTATACTCTCTCTACAACAAAATTAGAGATAAGGGCAAAATAGTTTCTGCTGGGTATTGAGGGGGGGGGAGCGGGAGGGGGTGGAGTGGGTGGTAAGGGAGGGGGTGGGGGCAGGGGGGAGAAATGAACCAAGCCTTGTATGCACATATGAATAATAAAAGAAAAAAAAAAAAAAAGACATACCTTTATAGAGTTAGCAATTTCCTGTATACCCTTCGCAGCAGCATCTTTTATGATTGGTGTGATTAAACCTTTATCTGTTGCCACAGCCACTGAAATGTCAATGGAGGGCAGCTGCTTTGGGCCGTCTCCATCCCAGCTAACATTAACACCTGGCATTTGCTGGAAATAGAAAAAACACATTATGAAGGGAAGCAGTTTCAGATCAAGGTGGTGTGGTCACAGAAAAATAACATCATTATGCATTTTCCAAAGTGAATACAGTTGGACAGAAGTAAATAAACATTTGTTTGAAAAAATGGTTTGAATCTCTGTTTTGATTATTGCTTATGTTTGGGAAGAAACATCATGCTTTGAGGAAATTCTGATGATGTACATGCTTTGGTGTCTTGACGTCATGGCTAAAAACGGGCTTCCTTTGTTACATCTAATTGCCAGAGGTATTTAATGTTTGTTATACTTCCTGCCTCATATGATGACCAAATGACCTTGATGGGGAGAGAGGAGCAGAAAAGGGTAGTGACCTGCAACCACATTTCTTTGGCTTTTTAGTTCAGTTCTGGAATGTATACTAGCAAGCTGTTAATAAATGACTCTATTTAAAAGAGATTCCCTAAGCACCACAAACAGAAGATACATATACTACATTTGAGCATGTATGTATTTAGCATACAAACAACTATACTGAAGGATGAAAAGAAAAGGTGAAACAACTAAATGCCTGGCAACAGTGTGCAATAATAATGATGACAAATAAATACTACAGGACAAAATGTTGCTGAAAATAGAAATCAAAAATAAATTTCTCTTCTCAAAAATTCTTTGCTTTCTACAACCCTTCCAGTATGCTATTTAAGTACAGCACAGTACCATTTGATTTCACTCTGCCCACCTAATTTTACTTGTGACCACTGCCCTATAATGAACTTTCCACTTTATTCAGCTTCTCACTGTCATGCTGGGCTCCTTCACATTTCAGGTCTATGTTCAATTGGTCTTTCCCTTTCTCTCCCTCTCCAGGCTTAGATTGTCCATTCATTTAACAAAGTCACAATATCAAAAGACTAAATATAAAGGCTGGTAGAGTGGCTCAAGCTGTAGAGCACCTGCCTAGCAAGTACTAGGCCCTGAGCTCCACCACCAGAAAAAGAAAACTAAAGAATAAAAACTAAAGTACAACCCCTCAAAATATTTTAAATTCTTCATAGACAACATTTAAGTAAACCACAAATATGAAGCAAAATCTCCAAAAACCTACAAATGAAGACTATCTGACAAATAAATATCATTAGAAAACTATGAAATGAAGACCCATAGGACATGGTCTAAGATGTATTTAAAAGAAAATTCATTTAGGCCTTATTAGTAAAGAAAGAATTAAAGTGAAGCACACATTCAAGTTTTCTAACCAAATGAACCTAAAAAATGGAATAAACAAACTAAAAACACAAATATGAGCTAATAAAAGCAAGACAGAGTTTAGAATAGCTCTAGATAATGAGGACATTGAAAGAACTCTTAAGAAATAGATGTAAATGATTAAGCTAATAGGTCTGGGAATCTAGAAGTAGGTTAATAGGTAATATTCTGAAAAAATATAATCTTCCATAATTTTTTTTTGGGGGGGGTAGTGGTACTGGGGTTTGAACTCAGGGCCTTGCACTTGCTAAGCAGGCACTCTACTACTTGAACTATACCCCCAGACCTTTTTCGCTTTAGTAATTTCTCAGGGAAGAGCTGAGTTTCTGCATGGATGGCCTCAGACCCCAATCCTCCTACCTAAGCCTCCATGTAGCTGGGACCACAGGCATGTACCACCACACCCAGCTTATTGGTTGAGATGTAATCTTGCTAGCTTTTGCCCAGGCTGGCCTTGAACCATGATCCTCCTATATCTCCACTTCTCAAATAGCTGGGATTACAGGCATGAGCCACTTCATCTGACTGTTGAGTCTGATCACAAACTTCCAAAAGGATTTCTTCTTTCATAATAAAATTCTCACTCCTTGCCATAACCAATAAGGCTCCCATTCTTTTCTCTTTTTCAAAAAACCTCATCTTCTATCCTCTCCACTTTTGCTATCTCCACTCCAGGTACACTACATACACCCTCAGCTTTGTCTTCAGATAACACATCCTCTTTGCCTTTGTTGGTGGCTAGACCCTCTGTCCAGAACCTTCTTTTATCAGTTTGGTTCACTCTCTCCTGTTTTGAATTCATGTCTCTATCCCCGGTTATTCTGCATCCATATTCTGCTTTTTCTCCTAGCATTTTCATCACCAGACACATGTTTGTTTTTCCTATCAGCTACAGTGTAAGCCCCATGGCATCAGAAACTATGTAGACTTTCATTTACTATTGTAAAATCTCTACTGTTTAGAATGCATTACACTAGACAGAGATCAATTAGTATATGTTGAATAAAACATAATTAGTTTGTGAGCCCTTTTGATTCTCAGTTTCTTCATCTATAAAACAAAAGAAATTAAATAGGACATTTTAGCAATAAAATTATAAAGTTCCTAAGATACGAGACTATTTTAGAAGCCAAAATTATTTGAGGTTTGCCACTTACTTGAAGAGTAATAGCCGCTGCCTTGATGATAAAATCATTTACTGATACTTTAATATCATCTGAAAGAAAAATAATCATATTAAAACTAGTATTCATAATAAAACAACCATTAAGATTTCAAACTTGTAAACAAGTTTCACCACTGGCAAACAGTGATGAAAGTACTACAGATTTTTGTCTTCTTGCACAGTCAAGGTGCCCTTGATTAGAACAACTGGCATTTTATGAAATCCTGGATGAACAATATTAGCCATAAATGTAAAAACTCACTTCTAGGGGTTAGGAGTCTACTCAGTGACAGAACACTGTTCAGTATGTGCAAGGTCCTGTATTCAATCCCTAGCACCTCCCACCCCTGAAAAAGAAGTCACTTCTGAACCTTGATTATAATTTTTAAGAAAGTACTCAGAAATCATACATGAGAGCTTTAAGGATACATTACAAGGACAATCAGAGAGAAAAGAACCAACTCCTATGTCTCTAAAAAGACAAATGGTCTCTGTGTAGTCAGGATGTTTACAAATTGTGCTTATTTTGTTCTTTATAATACACTGACTGTCAGAAAACTGTTACATGTAAATACATTAAATAAGTATTAATGAGGTATAGGAGAAAGAGAATTAAAAATGACCACTGAATTAATGAATAAAAGCTTCTCAACACAACAGGATATAGCAAATGCCAATGATGAAGCAGTGTTGGCATAGGTCCTAGAGCAATGAATAAATGAGGTTCTGTGTCTAGATTTATGCTAAGTCCATCTGAATCAGTTTCCTTCCAGTATATATAATGATTTAAAAATAATGCTGGGTCTCCTCTCTTCCTACAGTACTGATTATTACCAAGGCATTTGATTTATATATACTTTGCTCTTACCAATGAGTATGAAAGTGTGAAAAAGGTAAACCTCATTTCATTCTTTCTTATAAGAGCTTTTAGAAAAAAGATCTTAAGATCAAGATCTAGTCAATGGTATGTGGCAAGAAACAAATCCTCTATAGTTTCTGCTGGGTATTGAGGGGGTGGGGGGGAGAGGGAGGGGGCGGAGTGGGTGGTAAGGGAGGGGGTGGGGGCAGGGGGGAGAAATGAACCAAGCCTAGTACGCACATATGAATAATAAAAGAAAAAGAAAAAAAAAAGGAAAATAAATAAATAAATAAAGATGTATATGAAAAATAAAAAAAAAAAAAAAACCCCCCAAAAAACAAATCCTCTTACCACAGTAGTATGGAATTTTACGTAACAACAGTTCATTCCAAAAGTATGCTGGAGATTTTAGAAAGATTAGATGAGTTGCCATAAGACTACAAACTACCAAACTGTCATGATAAATGTTGGCTGAGTATCACAGCACTTCTAATTTTGATATCCAGAAATATGTGAGCATTCTAGTTTGTTTAAAATCCCCTGTATGAATAAAAATATAAATGGATTTCCAGTGTCCAGAAACTTTTAATGACAACCACACTGAAAAGATTTGGTCTATACAAATTCAAATATATTAATGTGACATTTTATGAACTGGTTCTGCTTGCCTCACATACCTCCATCAGCTTCCTTCTCACTTTATCTACTATACAAAGGTGTAGAAAGTGAAGGCCCACAGCCACCTACCAGCTGATGACTCTCAAACCTTCCCCTAAGGCCACAGTCCTCACTTAGAATTCTGTCTTCATTGTATCCCAACATTTCCAAGCATTTGAGCTGACCACTTTATTCACCTTGAAACACTTTCACTCATAGGCTCCTATGTTGCCGTGCTTTTCTGGTTTTCTTCAACTCTGTCTACTCACTCATTTTCAGTCCTTTCCTTGCAATACTGGCATATCCCAGACAGGAATTTTCATTCTATGGTTTTGATACCATGATACCATTTTTAGAATTAGGATTTCTCCTAGTTCTACCTTTATTGTGGTGTATTTGGAGCTTCAGACTTACATCTCCACCTTCTCACATGGCATTTCTACTTACATGGCTAACAGGCACCTCAACTCTGTAAACATCTGTAAAGGAGATTTCTTCTGCATTCTACCACTTGAGTTCATGCCTCCTGCCCTTTCACGCTTTGGTTATTTTTTGAATAGGGTCTCACATTTATGCCTTGGTCAGCCTGGACTTCGATCTTCCTGTTTATGCAGTAGCTGGAATGACAGCACATGCCAGTGCATCTACCTTTTTATTGGTTGAAATGGGGTCTTGTGAACTTTTTGCCCAGGCTGGTCCTCCTGATCTCTGTCTCCTATATAGCTAGTATTAGAGGTGTGGCCATCACACCCAGCTTATTTCTAATTCTTTATTATAAAAATTTCCAAACACTGATGACATTGAGTAAGAAGTAGTTTATAAAGGAATATCAAATACTTCTATTTTTACATTATGTTTCAAATGTAAAGTGTGGTGCATGCTTACAGAACGTTATATATCATATTAATCTTATATAAGAAAAAGGAATGGAGATAAGAAAACATGGGCTCTTTGAAGGCCCATGAGAAAATTCATAATTGTAAGGTTATACCAACCACGCAAAGATACTAAGCTGAGCCATTTATCCACTGAAATATTACTGAAATATTACTGCTTCTGCCTCATGAGAGGAAGGAAACAGGAAAATTGTTCCTGTATTAACATTAGTTATAACTAAGCAAGAATGATTTGAGGCCTACTTAGGGTGCTTCTATGGTTATTTTGTTTCTAAAGGTTATCACTTTCTCTTAAAGCCTTCCATTTGGTTCCTTGGACTTTCACAAGTTATCAGGTCACCTTCATAGAGAATGCTGAAGTCTATGTATAAATTGACTTGTCATTCCTGCTTTTACTTAGGGTGTACAAAGCTGTAAGACAAAGTTGTTTCCACTCTAACAGGATGAGAGAAAACACAGGATGAATTACAGAATCATGACTTTCCTTGAGCCCATTAGCTAGCTGAGGTCACAAAGCAACGAGATGAACTGAATGGCACAAGGAGATAAAGTGCTCTGAGGAGACCAACATGGGAAATGATCACCCACTGTCAGAGAATAGGCACATATAGGTAGGTCAGTGTTGCACAATGTGTGTGAGCAGATGGGGAAAATCAGCAGAGATGGGAACTATGAAAAACATTCAAATGGAAGTCCAGGGAGAAAACACATGTTATCAAAGAAAAAGTATATTTTTGTTAAGTTTTGCAGACTAAACATAGCAGAGGAAAAAAATCTGAATTTGAATCTGTAACAATAAAAATTATCTGAACTGAAGCACAAAGAAAAAAAAAGGTAAACTAAAAAGAACAGAACATCTATAACAGTTCTGGAGAGCTCTAACATGAGCATTAGAGTCTCAAAGAGAAAATACATGAAGCAGAAGATACAGTTAATAATGCTAGAAATTTTCTAAAATTAATAAAAGGTAATAAAGCACAAATCCAAGAAGCCAAGAAAAATAAAAATAGGATAAGTACAATGGCAGGTGGCAGGTGGCAGGGTAGAGGGGAGGACCTAGGCATAGAGTAACCAAATTGCTAATACAAAAAATCTTGAAGGCCACCAGAGAAGGGACAAACATACACAGGGCAAGACAGATTAAGAACAGCAACAGGCATTTTACAATCCAGAAGATAATAGAAGTGTATCTTTATTTAATTCTGCACCCAGAAGAATTATTTTTCAAAAATACAGCAGACAGAGACACATCCATTAGGATGGCTATCAAAAAAAAAAAAAAAAAGAAAGAAAGAAAATAACAAGTATTGGTGAGGATGTGAAGAAATTAGAACCCTTGTGAACTGTTGACAGAAAGGTAAAATGGAAGTACCTTAAAAATTAAAATTTAAAATGAACTAACAGATTATGCAGCAATCATGCCTCTGGTGATATGTCCAAAAGATTTCAAAGCAAGAATACAAAGAGGCAACTGCAAATATATGTTCACAGCATTATTCACAACAGCAAAAAGGTGGAAGTAACCCAAGTATGCACTGACAAATGAGGGGATGAACAAAATAAGGTATATATACACTATGAACTACTATTTAGCCTTGAAGAATGAATTCTGACACACTAGTTCATCATTGATGAACCTTGAAGACATTATATGAATGAAATAATAGGGCAGTAAAAGGACAAGTACTATATGATTCCATGCATATGACTTACAGCAGTCAAAGTCAGATGAACGGAAAATGGAATGATAGTTGTCAGGGGTTGGAGGTGATAGAGGAATGGGGAGTTATAGTGATGATGGTTGTACAAAAATAGGAATATCAATGCCACATAAAATGGTTAAAATGTAAATTTCATGTTATATATGTTTTATAATTAAAACTGTAAGAAGAAAAAAATGAAGCAGAAATTCTGTAGACAAAAACTGATAGTTTATTGTCAGCCAACAAGCACTAGAAGAAACTTAAAGAAAATTCTTTAGATAGAGTAAGTATGATAGCAGACAGTTCTACAGAAAAGAAGAATGTTAGAAACAGGAAAATTGCCAGGCACATGTGGCTCATGCCTGCTACTCAGGAGGCAGAGATCAGGAGGATTGCAGTTCGAAGCCAAATAGCTCATGAGACGCTATCTCAAAAAACCCATGACAAAAAAATTTGGGCTGGTGGAGTGGCTCAAGGTGAAGAACCTGAGTTCAAACTCCAGTACTGCAAAAAAAGAAAGCAACAGGAAAACTATGATAGTTGTATGAGAGAAGTTGATGGCAAACTATAATAAGTTAAAGAATTATAATTTTAAATCCCGGTGTGCCACACAAAGAGATGGAGAAAGAGACTGGTAAAGGATAATATGGGGAAATAAAATGCAGTCATAAAAAAACGCCCACAATTTGAAAGGAGGCAAGAAGAAAAAATGAAGAAGAGATAGAACTAGAAATCAAAGAACAAATAGTAGGTAAAAATCCACCATTATAGTAACGGTGACTGGTCTACAGACCTTAATAAAAATACAAAGACCACAGAGTTGAATTTAAAAGCAAGGGCCAACTATAAGCTGTTGCAAGAAACCTATTTAAATATAAGTACACAAATTATTAAAAAATAGAAGATTATAAAATATATCATAAAAATAGAATATGAAAAGCACTTCAGATTATAACAGTAGTAAGATAATACTGTAACTTTATGCCAGTAAACTTGGTAACTAATATAAATGCTATACATTTCTTGAAAGACACACACCATAAAAAAGCTCCTTAAAAACAGTACTCTGTATCTATCTTAAATATTGAATTTGTAGGTAAAAGTCTCCCCACAAAGAAAATTCCAGGTCTATATCCAGTTTCATTGTCGAATTCTATGAAAAAATTAAAACTCTTCCAGAAGATAAAGAAAGAGAAAACCCAACTTCTTCTACAAAATCCAATAATAAACCCAAGGGAAAAGAAATATCAAGAAAAGAAAAATGAAGTATAGTATTTCTCATGGGCATACATTTAAAGATCTTAATAAATTTTAGAAAATGAAATCAAACAATATATGAAAAGGTTATTGATTAAATGGTTATATGAGGAGTATCAAATTGACTCAACATTTGAAATTCAACAAATGTAATTCACCATATTAACAAATGGAAAAGTAAAAGATTATCTCAAAAGATACACAAAAAAACTGACAGAATTTAATATGCACTCAGGCTTAAAATTCTCAATAACTGAGAATAGAAATTTCCTCAATATGAAAAAGAGAATCTACAAAAAAAAAAACAACCAACCAACCAAAACTACTATTAATGTTAAAGACTCAATACTTTCCCCCCTAAATCATTAACAAGTCAAGAATGTCTGTTTATACCACTTAGAGTCGTCATTATACAACTGCCTTAGCTAGTGCAATAAGGCAAGAAAATTATATAAAAGGCAAATAGATTTGAAAGGCAGAAATAAAACCATCATGCTAGTATTTTTCTCTCAGCAACTTTACTTTTAGTTGATTTATTTTGGAGGGGGGAGTGTTAAAAATCTAATTATGTGCAAGTGCATTTTGAAGAAATATAACACTAAAACTTGCATAAAGAAGAGTGATATCTAAGTTATATTTAAAACCTAAAACATTCTTAAATCTGTGTTAAATCTTGGTAAAATGTTCAGGATTTTTTTTGTTCACATATCACAACACAAATAAAAATAACCATTTAGCCTGAGCAAGTCATTCATAAATTCTTATTTAAGAAATTCACATATGTGAAAGTTAAAGCAAACCAAAAAATTAGCCTATTTTTGCTTTAAAAAAACAGTAACAACCCAACCAATCAGTTAGCTAAACCATAATACTATTTGTAGCTCTCAGTGTATGACAGAGTTGGACTCAATAAATGTCTGCTGAATGAGTATTAGTTAGCTGAATGTATATTACTGAAATACTATGAAAGAGATTCTGGAATAAAAATAAGGCAGAAACCATTATGCATAAAGGTAATATATCTGTGATTTTTTTCAACAGTATGGAGCCAATTCATTTCACATAGGAAAACAGATTCAACTTTTTCCTCTAGCACTAAAACACACCAAAAGTAGACTATAATTAGATTATGAAATCAAAATTAAAAGCTATATAATGTGCATTTTATAAAGGATTTTATAATAGTTAAGTTAGCTGATTATGTACTGATTAAGTAAATTTCACTATACTGACCTCTGACTAGATCTTGTCTAACTTTTAAAACTGCTCCAAGGTCACAGTCAGCAGTAGCATATGCATGAGGTACAGTACTTTTAGATTCGGTTAATCTCTTGGCAATAACTCTTCGAATATTGCTAGCAGGGATTTCAGTGAATGTGCCCTAAAACAAAATGAAACAGCAATTTTTCCATTAAACCACAAGTAGGATAGAAAAACAAAACAGAATGAATAAAACAATTATCTGAACTCTAGTCTCAGTGACCTAATTCATGACGTCAATTAAAGATGAAAAAGTACTATTATTTCCATATATGAGGAATATAAGAAATTCAAGACACCTGGGCTTTAGCATAGAAAAAAAAACAGTAAAATTCATCTTTCAGCTGAAAATGGAACATCTTGGAACACCTTATGCTACTGTGTTTAAGATAATTAAAAATAAATCTACCAAATCATGATTTCCTCATAACTATCTCTATGTGCATAGTGAATGTGGCATAAAGTAGAAAAAGATAAGCCAATAGAATGGATAATCTGTCAGTATTTCTATTTTCATTTGTAATTTGAAAAAAAAAAAAACACCACCACAGTAGAAGGATCTTTTTTCTACTTGGAATTCAAACTATAAAGTATGAGTGAAATCATAAAAGCTTCCCATAACTTTGTTGTAGTTTTCCCATTCTGTTTCTTGAACATCTCACAAAAGCACAAATAGGACACATGTTACATCTAATTCCTTTCTTATCCTTCATTCCATTCTGGGACAAGGTCACAATCACATCAGGATAATATAGAAGAAGAAGTGAAAATGCAGCTGATTTCTACAAATGATCTCTTACAGAATTAAACATTTTATGTTAGCACAGTGTCAGAGGAAAAATGAAGTAACCTGAAAACAAAACACAGTTGTTACACTATATATGTGTAGGAAGGAAAGTATGATTGCTTATACAGTACAGTCTATATGGTTATTCATAATAAGACTATCAATTCTCTAGCTAAAAAATAGAACATCCATAAAAAGAACTAGTGTCAGCTACCAATCATTACACCCAAGGAAAAAAAGGCATGAAAAGTATCATGCTTATACAGCATATGTGGTGCTGAAGTTGTGGAACTTGTGGTAAATTTAAACTGAATCATAGTTCTACTTGGAAGTCAGTGCTATATAAACAAATTTGGTTTCTGACAGGAAATCTGCAAGAAAAAGCATTTGGAGCATTTGTTTTTCCTTTATAACTTGAAGGTGTTACTAAAACAGATTGATCTAAGTACTGGTAAATCCTATGATAGTTGTTTTATTTTCTTTCTAAGTACTGGTAAATCCTATGATAGTTGTTTTATTTTCTTTCTCACTTATCTGAACCATAAAAATCTTACTCAGAGGGCATTACCACAGCATTAGGTTGTCCAGGAGTTGAAACTGGTGGGATCATTGGCCGGGGATAAGATGGCCCTGCTGTGGCCTGTGGAGGCAAAGATGCTGTGGGAATAGATGGAGGAGCTGGGGCTGCTCTGGTCTCAGTAATCTTGCCCATCTGTTTCAGCTTGACAAGGTTGAGGGCATCTCTGGAGATAAGGAGAAATTAGATAACTATGATTAGCAACAAGGTATAAAAGATGACAAATAGAAAATGATGGTGAGATGTATGAAAAGAAGATACAGAAATATTAAGACTAGAAGTATATAATCCAGTGTCAATTATTTGACCTAGAATAGTAAAATCTGTCTCCTACATGTTTTTCTGATTCTTACTATTTATTCAATGGTTATATGTACATTTTCAAAAATGAAATAATTATAATTTCATCATGGTATCAGGTATAGATAATAATTTTTAAAAACACTTTTTAATGGTAGGTGAGTGTCACTAGGTAGATGAACAATTCACTAATTAAAACATGTCCTCATTATACTTGTGAAATAATTTTCACATGGCATTCACAAAGTGTCAAGTTAATTGTATCTATGATATTTACTAGCTCATTATTTATTCTAGTATAGAAGAGTTTGCGTATGACCAGAAAATCATGCCATTTTTAATTTGTTCAATATGCTATCAGCACAACGTAATGTAATAAAGGTAACCCACAGCATCATTCAGAATAAAAATAATTAAACTAGTTACAGACTAGCCTTTGTATTACTCTGTAAATCAAAGGCATTTTTATAAAAGCATATAATCAGACTAAAAAATACACTAAGCCATTAATTCAGTGAGCTAACTTGTAATAGGTAAAAAACAGTAATGTTTTCTTAACAGCTTTTTATGACAAATTTAATATCTGACATTTTGAAGTACCTTTTCAAATTTGAATTTAAAAATCTTGTTCTTGCATATCTAAAAACAACTTCAGATAACACAAATTTAAAGATGGAATGTAATTTAAAAATTTTTCAATGACCAGAAAATTCATGCCATTTTTAATTTGTTCAATATGCTACAGCACAACGTAATGTAATAAAGGTAACCACAGCATCATCAGAATAAAATAATTAAACTAGGTTACAGACTAGCCTTGATTACTCTGAAATCAAAGGCATTTTTATAAAAGCATATAATCAGACTAAAAAATACACTAAGCCATTAATTCAGTGAGCTAACTTGTAATAGGTAAAAAACAGTAATGTTTCTTTAACAAACAGCTTTTTATGACAAATTTAATATCTGACATTTTTGAAGTACCTTTTCAATTTGAATTTAAAAATCTGTTTTGCATAATCTAAAAACAACTTCAGGATAACACAAATTTAAAGATGGAATGTAATTTAAAAATTTTTCAAACACAGTTAATGTTTTGATATTGTTTTGATTTTGTTATCACCAAATCAAAGTAGTAAAGGGAAAAGCCTGGAGTCTGTTGAGCGCATCTGAGATAAGTATATTCTCTCAAATATAAGTTCTCCAGTATTTCTGCTCTTGGAGTATACCTCACATAGCCTCTCTATAGTATAAGTGGGTCTGTGAATTTGACAGACATCACTGTCATGGTGAAGTTACATCATGTGTCAAAACTAATGGGACTTTAGATGGGAGTAAGGTCCCAAATTGATTGCCTTTGAGTTACTCAAAAGACAAATTATCTTGGAGAGGCCGCACATATACCAGGTAAGCCCTTAAAGGAGTTGTGCCTCCTGAAAGAAGAGATATGAATTGAGGAAGTCCACTGAAGGCCTTGGAAGAAAGAAACAGGCACACTGTTCAGACTTCTGACCTACAAAACTGCCAGCAACAAATAAGTATTTAGGCTGCTAAGTTTGCTATAACTTGTTATACAGCAATAGAAAACTGACACAGGCAGGAATGTGTGAACCTCCATGCATCATTAGAAGGACATCCCAACATCCACTGGCACATTTATCAGGGAAGAGGGTTCATGAACTTAACTTTAAGAACAACTAAGTTACATGCTTCAAAATTAAAGAATTAACATTTTAGATGACAGATCTTATCAACAAAGCAATCTAAAATGCTATGTCAATGAAAATGTCACAATGAAGCCCATTATTCTGTACAATTAATAAAAAATAAACATACCATCTTGGAACCTTACTACTGAAAGAGGGGGTAAAAGTGGAAGAATGAGTTTATCATGGGTCAGGGAAGTGCTTATGTTAAATAATCTTACACCAGCCATGTGGGAGAGATAAATATTACTCCTAATTTATAGAGGAGTGGACTCAAAATAGTTATGTTCTACATCTGAGTACTTCTCAAACATCTATTATATTCCAGATATTGGGGTATACAATGTTAGACAAAATATTTTCCATCAGGAGCTTTATTCTTCTTTATTCTTCATACATAAGTCACACAAATGTATTAGAATAATAAAGAACATAAAACCAAATAATCAGAAAATGAGGGATGAGAAGAGGGGCTATTTTATAACAGAATGATCAGTGAAGGCCTGAACAAAAGCCATCTGTGCAAAACGATGTAAAGGAGCAAACCTCAAGAGTTTGGAAAAGTATGTTTCTAGAGAGGGAAGAGCAAGTGCCAAGGCAGGAAAAATGTGGCTTCTAAGAAAATATGTTTTTCTTCTAAGAACAGAAGGAAGGCTAGTATGGAAGGAGTACAGTGAACAAAATGGAGAGGATGAAAAGATGAAGTCAACAGCCAACAGCTGCCAGGGCTGGGATCAAACTCAGGTATAGCCAACTCCAAAGTCTATGCATTTTCCTCTGCTTTTCTAAGACCTATGTTCATGCTATGCAAATAAAATATAAACAAAAGCAGAGTTTTCCCATAAGAATAGACAATCACATAATGAAAGTGTTTCTTAGATTAACAGAATCCTAGGACTGAATAAAGAAGTGGGATCTGTCTAACCTAAGGCAAAAAGGATGACCTGACAAAGGCCTTTTACCTATCTTTAGAAAAGTATAGGAGCACAGCTACTGGCAATGCTAGTTCTCAAGGGGTGGCCACAGCCTAAGACGGACGGAGTGGAGGAGGCATGTGTCCTAGCGAATGATGTCAGGGATCTTTAAGGCTTTTGACAAGCCTATTTCTATTTGAAAATCAAGTTTTACTCTACTAATGATATTTATAAAGCAAAAGCACTATTTTTTAGCTAATTGTGATTATTATCTAGGTGTATAAGTAAATGACGACCAATATAATCCTTGGAGACTTATGTCATGAGCCCAAATATAGCCAGACAGTAAAAAGTATAGGCACTGATTAACACAAGGCCTTCTTTTGATTCAGAAAAATGCCTTCAAGAAACAAAATTTAGCTTTTTTTTTTTTTTTGTGGTACTGGGGCTTGAACTCAGGGCCTACACCTTGGGCCACTCCACCAGCCCTTTTTTGTGATGGTTTTTTATTCAAGATAGAGTCACAGAAACTATTTGCCTGGGCTGGCTTCAAACATGATCCTCCAGATCTCTGCCTTCCAAATAGCTAGGATTACAGGCGTAAGCCACAAACACCCAGCCAAAATTTAGCTTTTTAGACCTCTTATATGTCATGTCCTAATATTATTAATTACTTCCCATTTATGTAATTAAATCTGTCTCTACCAAAATATATTACTGATCTGATTTATATGAAATTCAAGTTTAATATCACAGTGGCAAATTGAAAACATGTTAGTTTCCTTACATAGAGACCACTCTTAGTCATCAGAAACAAACAAAACAAAAAAACACAACAAAAGCTACTTTGTCAATACCTGAATACAACTATTTAAAAACACAGTGGAGACACTAAGTATACACATTTTTATCTCGCTATGAGCACAACCATTACTATTTTACAAAGAAAAAAGTAGTCTAGTTTTATCTCAGTGGCAATTAACATTTTTGAGTAAAACAGCACTTAGTGAAGAACAGACGTAAATAGGAGTCATTAATCACATAGAAAATAATTTTGGCCATTGGTTCATGGCAAACCAATACTGATTTTATAATTATACAGCTTATAGAGTATAAATGTTAATTATTGCTTAATAATAGCCAACAGTTGTTTCTGTAATGCAGAGATGTTTTAAATGATGTCTGCCCATCAAGTAATTAATTAGACTAAACTTGAAGGATTAAGCAGGCATTAAAACTATAAAAATTGGGAGGAAAACAATATTCCAGGCACATCTGCAAAAAAGCAGAGGATACATTGCAAGTGTATTCAGGAAGAAACTTCTTTATCCTGATCCATTAGAAAGTAATTCATTTGTGTATGGCATAAATTAACTTGGAAAAGAAACATCACTAAAAACCAGAGAACTGCCATAGTTATCAGACTTCTGATGCAATGATATTAATATAAACATTAACTAGAAGTATGATTTAAAACTGAGATGTGCCAAACTCATTTAGGCTGCAAAGAACCCAAGTGTGTTCTGCCTCTAATTGTAACACAGTCACTTGCTTTCTTAAAAGAGACACATGTATAGGCTAAGTCTACATGCTTTTGTGCAACATATATTTTGAGAAATATGTTTGTTTTAATGCAAAATTAAAACAGCAGCTTTGACACCTATGATTTTCTTCATGAATGCAATGGGTCAGAAGCAGTTCCTTAGCAGATGGACTGTTGTATTCTACTTGCACTTATAGCTGAAAGGCGTGGAAGAAAGATATCCCTCACTGTTTTCAGATTTTGGATGCAGTTTTTACTAAAGCCTGTGATTTTTCAACTATTTCAAAAGATAACCTATCTGTACATGACACCAGACCAAAACCTTTTCCAAAGTCATCTTAATGTTAAACAGAAAATATCTTTAGTACCAAACAAAAGGAAAACTCTTCAATAATGCATGCATTTAGGATCCATTTTTTTCTCATGAAATCTTTTGTAATGGTTCATATTTTGAAGACCAAAGTTTGGCTCCCTTATGGTAGGGAACTAAGGAATAGCAGAGAAGAAAATTGGGTAACAGCAGGAGAAAGATGGCAAAAATATCAAAATATCTTGAATACTGCTTCCTGAGGGCATCACAATAATAGTATTTTGTTCTCTTTAGAAATGCTATGATAATATAATTTTCAAATCATGTTTTTTAAGAAAATGTGTTTGTGCCTCATAAGTATATTCAGCACATATGAAGGAAAAATAAGAGAAAAAACCTTATTTATTACATTGCTGTCATACGATAGAACTGCTTTTTATTTTTTTGAACTCAGGGCCTTCATCTTTAGCCACTCCACCAGCCCTATTTTTGTGATGGTTTTTTCAAGATAGGTTCTCACGAACTATTTGCCTGGGCTGGCTTTAAACCATGATTTTCCTGATCTCTGCCTCCTGAGTAGCTAGGATTATAGACATGAACCACCAGCACGCAGCTAGAACTGCTTTTTAAAAACTCATCTAATCACCAAATTCAGGGGTCTTTTCTCAGATCCCATCTTCTTTGACTTTTCAACCATTGCCCAGATATCCTCCAACACAAGAAATGAGACAGCTAAACAATTTAGCTGTTGATGGTCTCAATGAGAGCTACCTCTCTAACCTTAAACTATCTTCTGTGATACATCTTCAACCCACTGATCCTGATTCCTGGATGGCCATTATATGTTAACAACAAGCTTTAACAAGTAATTAAATCCCTTATTTCTACTTCTATTCTGGGGTCAGCATTTTCATCACCCAGACTGAATCCCAAATTCATTCCTTAACTTGCTATCTTTATCTACACTCTACATTCAGTCTTTTACAAAGGCTTCTGAATTCCATCCTTATGATGTTGTCTGTAGCAGAAGTTTTCTTTTCCTTCTATCCACATTCAAGTACAGTACTCAACATCTCTTATTTGGATTATCTTCTGAGCCTCGCCTCAATTTATATCCGTACCACAGGTCTTTGTTCCAATTTATCTTACACAAAATTGCAAAACTGATCCTTCTGAGATGTACCTAGCACTATTTTGTATTTCACCAAATCTTTAATGATTAATGAATTAAATAGACTCTTCTTCCTATCACTCAGAATTATAGGTAAGCCAAGTCTATATTGCTATGAAGATAGTTACTTTATTACATTTTTGTGGAGAGTTTCACTAAGGCATAGATGATTAATAAAATTAAGATATCAATAGTGAATGAGAGTTGATGTGTGGAGAAAAACACAGGCTTAACTAGCTATCAAGATTCTTAATTTTAGATCTTTATGGCTGAGTGAAACCTTTTAAGTCCTTTAATTAAATATCCTAGTCTAGGTCATTGCTTTTCAGTTAGCTCTCAGAACATGTGATTTCCAACTGATATAGTATGGCATGAACTCCATAGTATGTGTGCAACAGAACCACACACACACACACATTTGGTTAATAAACCAGTAAGGCCACATTATAGATAAACGAGGACATCTAAGAAATAAAGCTCTACTGCTTTCAATAAAAGCAGTAGTTTACTCAACAGTAAACTAGTGCTCTAATGAAAAATAAAGTAAACTAGTGAAAAAAGGTCCAATTTCCTGATCCAGCACTGCTGCTTAATATATTATGTCATTATCTTTGCTCTACCTTAACTTTAAAAAATTCTGGCCAACATTATTGTATCTTATTAATTAGTTAAACATGAAATAAGAATACCACTTTAAAACATTAACTCAATTTAAAATATTTAATGTGATTGCCAATAGAAATGTAGCAGCAACAATCACTATGGTAGCTGTACAATAGTTCATAAGCCTGTTTGCTTATTCTCTACCTTTTCCATCAGACTAATAGCCAACAGAGAAGAGGTTACCTGTTTTAAAACACTCATGAGAGACTCAAAAATTTAAACAAAAGGAAAACCAGAACAGTTCCTAGAAGAGGAAGAGTGTCATAAAGATGTCAGCACTAAGTTAATTTAATACAAGTTCATTAAAATATCATAGCCTCCCTGCACATGCACCTGTAGAAATAGAAGAACTGCTTAAAGCTTATTGGAAAGAATAAAATAGGCATATACTAATGAAACTAGTTTATGGAAAAAGGAAGGACAAGGGAAAGCACTCTGATATCTCTATCAGATTTTAAAGCATACCATAAAATATTTATAATTAAAGTGTAGCAGTAAGAAAGCATGGTAATAACTCATGGACAAACAAATCAATGGAATAGCGAAGAAACTCAAAATAAGAAGCAACTGAATATGCAAAGTGCTGTGTAACAAGTGAATGAAGTCCAAACAGTTAAGAATTAAATGATTTTTAAAACATATTTTTCATGTTTTAGAAATTTAAATGTGATTGGGTGATACAAACTTGAAATAACTTAAGGTTTCACTGTTCTGCACTCTCATTTCCTACATTTATCACCATTGCTATGGATCTGACTCAGTTACTAAATTAGAACTGTTCTTCAACAATGCTACAATAACTCAGAAAACAACCCTTCCATAGAATTTAATTTACACTGACAAAAGCAATTAAAAGCATAAAGAAAAAGCATACATCCTCTAAATCTTAACATTGAATAAGTTCTTTTTAAATTCTTTGAGAAAAAAAAAATGATAGAATTGATTGTTATATAAAGCACACACATACTCTTTAGTGAAGATCCCCCGAGGGCCAGTAGCTGTGCCCTGGCTAGCATTCAGTGCATGTTTTTCCAGAATATTACGGGCAGCTGGACTCAAACGGATCCTAAGAAAACATGAAGATTAATGGAACTAATTAACACTTACACTGATTCAAACAGATTTAAATGTCAACAATTTTGCTGATAATTAGAAAAATAAAATCTTATAGTAAAGTTAAAATGACTCCCATAAATGCTCACAAATAAATTAATCTGTACCAATCTAGTTTATTGTCAAAACATTTTTGCAAAACTTTAGTTACTATTTCAAAATATTCTTTTAATAAGAGTTAAGTATTCATTAGAAGAAAGAGCTTCCATTTTAACTAACTACATTTCACGTGGCTCCTCAATAAGGAACTAATGAATCAACAAGGAATTACACTGTTTGGTCATATAGTTTTTATTGTGATAAACTGTATATAAAATTTACCATGTTAAGGATTTTTAGTTGTACAGTTGAGCAATAACAAGGACAACCACTGTCATCATCCATCTCTTGAAATTTCTCATCTTCCTGAACTGAAATTCTGTGTCCTATAACAATAATTCTCCATTCCTGCTTCCTCCCAGACTCTGGTGACCACTGTTCTACTTTGTCTCTGCTCATTTGACTCCTCTAAATACTTCATATTAAGTAGAATTAAATACATCTGCCCTTTTGTGACTGAGTGTACTCAGCACAATGCCTACAAGGTCCATCCATGTTGCAGCATGGATCAGAATGTATCCTTTTGAGGATGAATAACATGACAAGGTATGAACAGACATCATTTTGGACATGTATTGTTTCTACCATTTTGCCACAGTAAATAATGCTGTGTGAATATAAATGTACTAACACTGTGTGCTTTTAATTCTTTTGAATATATACCCAGAAGTGGACTTCCTGGATGATACCATAATTCTATTTTTGAGAAAATGCTATACTGTTTTCCACAGCACCTATACCAGTTTATATTTTCACTAGCAATGCAAATGAAACAAGAGTTCCACTTTCTCCATATGCTCACCAACACTTGCTATATTCTGAAGTTTCTTTCTTTTTCTTTCCTTTTCTTTTGTTTTTTGGAATAATAGCCACTCTAATGGGTGTGCAGTAGTGTCTCTTTGTGGGTTTGATTTACACTTTGCTAATGATTAGTGATGGTGATTATCTTTTCCTGTGCCTACTAGCCATCTGCCCATCTTCTTAAAAAAATGTCCATTACATTCCTTTGCCCACTTTTAGATGGATTGTTTCATTGTTATTGAATTGAATCCTTCATAAATTTTTTTAAAAGTCCTTATTATTCACACAGAAGAGATTTTACTTTACATATACTCCAGAAGAGTAAGAGTGGGAAAAACAATTGTATTGATTTTTATGGGCAAGGAAACTGAGGCATACCCAAGATCAAATGGCTAGTAAGTGTCCACTCTTCCATTAAAACCCTTAGGTGAAGTACTAACTGTGAATGACTCAGATAAAGAAAATAAGGACAACAGGCTAGACCTGAAAGTTTAAAACTAGAAATGGAGAGGAACTGTGACACTTGCTGCACTTTAGGGAAGTAGGTAAGAGTTGAAACATTACATTACATTTTTAACCTACATGGGATCTCAGACTCCTGCAAGTTTCTAATGATGACTGACGGTAGGATTAGACACACATTGTTGTCTCTGTAAAGGGAGAATATCATTAAGTACAACACATCAGTGAGAGTCTCTTCTGATTGCTACTGTAAATGAAAGAAAAGAAAATAAAGGGACTCAAGCACAGGAGACAGAAATACTTTGTGTAGCAGAGGGAATTATGTAATCAGCACTAATTACTCTGATTTATCATTACACACTGCATGCATATTATCAAATTATTGTACTGTACTTCATGAACACATACAAGTATCATGTGCCACATTAAAAATAAAAATCAAAACAAAAATCAGTACTTTAAAAAACACTACCCATTTTTTCTGGTACAAAACTTGACAGTGGTAAAACAATAGGAAAAAATTAGACCTTGTCTCTCTGAACACCCTTCTCTTTTTAAGAAAAAGTAATTTTATATGATTACAAAGAATATTAAAATGAATGAAATTTGTTAGAATTTGCAGAGTCCATCAGTTAAAGCTACTTAAAGCTAAATTAAACCATGTTGTTATAGTACAATTCTGTTATTATAGAACAATCAGATAAAACTTGGCTCTAGTTTGTGTCAGAATCTCAACCACAGAACAGTTTGAAGGGAATGCATGTTAAAATGGCAATTTCATTTTATATTAGTTATGCATCTGAAACCAGAATTCACATTATAGTAATTAGAATTCTGTGAATGGGAACACAATAATGAAGTTTCGTCTACTGAAGGCTATTCTGGAATTCTAAAATTCAAACTTCATGTGGACACAGACTGCTTTATTCTCCACTGGGGAAGCAAGGCTTTCAGAGTACCAGGAACATAACAAGTATTCAGTAACTGTATACTAAATGAAAAATAATGATAAAATAATCATTTCCTAGATCTCAGTGTCCTGAGGAAAAAAAGGAAAGATTAGCAACTTCCTACCTACTATTCCAGGATGCTTTGAACGTAATGATAAAAACCCTAACAGCAGCCATAACAATTTTTTTTACATCAGCATTCACATAAACATACTCACTGTAGCATCCCTGCTGTGTGTTCCTTCTTAACAGGGCTAGCAATCTGTGGTTCTGGTGAGGGACAAGGCACTGCTGGTTTTGTAACTGGTGATGGTGAACCAACATCTTTTGGAATTTCGACATGTTTCCAGTCTTCTCCTTCTTCCACTATCAAACCAATTAATGAACCTAACCGTATATTTTTAGCTCCTTCTTCAACCTGTATTTAAAAAATGAAATAATGGTGAAGATGGAAAGGCTCATGATTGCATGACCTAGTATATGCCTTTCTTGAAGACCTCTTAATTTGAACTAAAAGCTGCTTTCAAGACAGCATGCCTCCACTGTCCACCTGCCACTTTCTCCCACTAAAACCTTCCTATACCATTCTTCCTCTCAGTTACTAATGTAACCCTCTGAAACAAAGGAAAAATCCTGAAACTCTTCTTTTTCTGGCAGCCTTCAAAAACATGAGTGATCACTACGATCTTCTTCTAATTAATACAAATCAATTCTTTGTCTTTCCCAGTTTTTACATGATGGCCTCAGAACTTCAAATGCTCACAAGGCATTAATTCCCCAGATTAGGCCTATCTGCTAAAACTTAGCAGCAAAATCTTTTCAGTAAACTTAAATTTCTGCAAAAAAAAAAAAAAAGAATTTGTCTTTGTATAGATTAAATTGGTTAACTGTGCTGGTCAATGTTAAGTGCGGTCTCTTTCTCTATTATTTCATAGTTCTCCCACATATCTACTTAGAAAACCTAAGGAATAAGTTAAGACTCATTAGTTTTTTTAAAGTTCATCAGAGACACAGTGATACCTTAGCTAACCAAACATTTTTTTTCATGGATATGTGCCAATTAGAAACCTAAATAAGATCAAAGATGATTTTTTTAAATTAAGATAAATATATTTTAGGCATTTTATAGCAGCATTAATTTATAAAAAAGTCAATTCTGAAATTCTCCCAAAACTAATGAACCAATAAAGAAATGGACAAGTGAACTAAACAAAACTTTCTCAAAAGAAGAAATTCAAATGGCCAAAAAACACATGAAAAAATGCTCACCATCTCAAGCAATAAAGGAAATGCAAATTAAAATCACACTAAGATTTCACCTCATCTCTATTAGAACAGCCATCACTAGCAACACCACTAACAACAGGTGTTGGCCAGGATGTGGGGAAAAAAGAACCCTCTTACACTTCTGGTGGGAATGTAAACTAGTACAACCACTCTGGAAAAAAATTTGGAGGCTACTTAAAAAGCTAGACATTGATCTACCATTGATCCAGCAATACCACTCTGGGGGATATACCCAAAAGACTGTGACACAGGTTACTCCAGAGGCACCTGCACACCCATGTTTATTGCGGCACTATTCACAATAGCCAAGTTATGGAAACAGCCAAGATGCCCCACTACTGATGAATGGATCAAGAAAATGTGGTATCTATACACAATGGAATTTTATGCAGCCATGAAGAACGAAATGTTATCATTCGCTGGTAAATGGATGGAATTGGAGAACATCATTCTGAGTGAGGTTAGCCTGGTCAAAAGACCAAAAATCGTATGTTCTCCCTCATATGTGGACATTAGATCAAGGGCAAACACAACAAGGGGATTGAACTCTGATCACAAGATAAAAGCGAAAGCACACAAGGGAGATATGAGGATAGGTAAGACACCTAAAAAATTAGCTAGCATTTGTTGCCCTCAACGCAGAGAAACTAAAGCAGATACCTTAAAAGCAACTGAGGCCAACAGGAGAAGGGGAACAGGAACTAGAGAAATGGTTAGATCAAAAAGAATTAACCTAGAAGGTAACACACATGCACAGGAAATTAATGTGAGTCAACTCCCTGTATAGCTATCCTTATCTCAACTAGCAAAAACCCTTGTTCCTTCCTATTATTGCTTATACTCTCTCTTCAACAAAATTAGAGATAAGGGCAAAATAGTTTCTGCTGGGTATTGAGGGGGTGGGGGGAGAGGGAGGGGGTGGGGTGGGTGGTAAGGGAGGGGGTGGGGGCAGGGTGGAGAAATGACCCAATCATTGTATGCACATATGAATAATAAAATAAATTTTAAAAAAAGTCAATTCTGAATTGCTTATTAAAAGTTCATAGAATATCTGCATTAGATAATGATGTTTTATAGGTTCAGTATGGAAAGAAATGTCATTCTTCTAAAACTTTCTATTATTCTCTTTCAATTACTCTAAGGTTCACTGCAGATGTATTTAATGAATAACAGAACAGGCTGCAGCATGTTTACTAATATAGAAATTAGAAGAAAAGAATTGATTCCTAGAATGGGCTTGACATTTGATGCCTATTAGTATGTGCAGAACTTTTAAAATAAAAAGGTATAAATTCTGAAGTCTAGGAAGTTTTCTAAGTTTACTAATTACTGATGGAGAAGAATAAGAGCAATGCTTTAAAAAAGTAAAATGTGAGAAATGAATATATAAAATGAAATAAGGATGTATAAATAATTAGAAGCTATGGAAAATAATAAACAATCCAACAAAATTTACTTGCTTAGTTGTTTGTCCTATACTAAAAAGTTTTACTTCTAGTCTGTTCATTTTTCTTTACTATATCAAAAAGAGAAGTTAAGATTATTATCTGTGTATGTATTGCCAACTCAAAAACCACAAGGTAAAATGAATAATTTTCTAAAAAAAAAAAAAACCTGAAAAAAAGCTTATCCAACTTGATAACTTCTTTCAAAACTGAACCAGGTGTAAGTACAATCTCCAAGTACAAGAGCATGATTCAAAAGCAAAACTTTCTTTTAAAGATAGGGGGATATTTTGTTTAAAAAATTTCAATAGATTTATGAAACAGGGGTCAACCACTGTATTAAATCTGAAACTGACAACTTACCTTCTGTTTCATCTACTATGAAACATATAAATGATTCCACATATACCTTTACCAACATGACATTGACACACTCACAAGCAGGAAATAACAAAGTTTTATTATCATTCTAATTTTTATATCAAAATTTCAATAAATTTTGATTCATTTCAAAAGTAAAATTTCAGTAAAATTTACTTTTAAGTACTCACAGTTTCTCACTAAAAATAAATTATATCATGAAGCAATGAAACCCACATAAAATGAACAAGGACAAATGACATACTACCACATGACCGCAGCTATATATAACAATAACAAAAGTAAAAATAATATTGGGCTGGAGGCATGGATCAAGTAACAGACCCTTGGTTTACTCCCCAGTATCACAAAAAAAAAAAGAAAAAGAAAATGATGTTGATTATATTTTCACTTAAAGTTATTAAAATCACAATCTAAATTTGAGATTATTTGACTTTCTCTATTTGCTTAATACAATAAAAGATCTTCAAGAGGTACACTAGTTTCCTGCAGATATTTATGCTGTAGCTAGCAAATATGCTAACTGGTGTAGACTTATGTAACAGAAGAGTAAAAAACACTCTTTACAAAATGACGTTCAGAAATCAAAACAGATCTTTATTACTATTCCCACTCCTCTGTCTGAGTTAGAACTGAGGATGTGCTCTGCTCTGTCAAAGCACCTGGAGCCTGAGGACACCTCAAGCATGCATGTTCCCATGCACTTGACTTACTTGATCAAAGCCCTCTCCTATCATTTATGTCATTGATTTTTAGTAGCGAATGAAAGATATTTACGTTTAGCCCTGCTAACTTACAGCTAAGTCTATCATTTAAAACATTAGCTTTCCCTCCCAGTTGTGTATAGACTTCCTGGATTTCAAAACTGGCTCCACTACTTCCTAGTTATACGACCTCAGTAAAGTTTCTTTATTTCACCATGCCTATTTCTGGATCTGTAAAATGGAAATAATAATATTAGCTATTTTGCAGCATTGTCGTAAGAATAATGAATTACAGATAAGGCACTTATAACAGCGCCTGTTATTTAACGTGAATGTTAAAGATACTATTATCATTATTGTGATGGTATTTCCCTTCAACTTACTAATTTTTAAACAAGAAATACACTCAACCAGGATCAACAAGGATTAACAACAAACTACAGTGTACCCTTGGTAAGGGTCCGAAAGGCATGCCTAAAGACCCAGCATGTGGCTGGGAGCACTAGAAGGTAAATAGTACACATTATAGGTGATAAGGCCTGTGACAAACTCTGTCCCAATAATACTTACACAAAGGCTGAATTTCAAACCTTGACCTGAGGCCCTAGGATGGACTCACTACCACCAGGGATATTCCCATAGGCTAACATTAGTCTTCTGCAAATGTGCTAAAGACAGTCCACCTAAGCTTTGAATCAGTATAACCAAAGATAGGTGATGCTGAAATCAAGGCAAAAAACGTCTGCAGCAGTATTTCCTAATGGAGAAATTGAGAGGATTTCCATTAAAGACACGACTAAAAACTATCTCTTTAATTCTGGCATTATAAAATAACCAGTACATTAAGAAATTGTTTAAATTTTTTTTATTTTGCAAAACTGAACTGTTTGAGAGATATTTAGTGACAATGGACAAAGCACACCCAACAGTAGTGGAGATGAGCGAGTTATCTAACTTACTGCTTAGCTCAGCGCGGTTACACAATATACAGTTTTAAGTTGCTTTTACATAGCCTGTTTAATTTATATTCACAACAAACATAAGAAACATACATAAGAAACAATGTTACATAAGAACAATGAAGAGAGAGGAAAAGCAAATTGATGACAGCTAACCTGCAGAGACTTTATCTAAAGGTCTTTGTAGAACAGCTGTCTGGTTCAATGCATTTAATTCTCCAAACAACCTGATGAACTATCATTATCCCTATTTATAGATAAGGGGGCTGGGATGTAGCTCGGTGGTACAGCGCTTGCCTAGCATGCGTGAGGCCCTGGGTTCGATCCCAGCACCAAAAAAGAAAAGACAAAAAAAAAAAAAAAACCCCTCCCCTATTTATAGATAAGGAAACTGAGGCATACAAATATTATACTAATTTGCTTGGGATCACAAGGTTACAAAGTGTCCAAGCCAGATCATAATGAAGTCTGAGATTAGAAACATCCCTCAATACCATCAGTACCAAATCTGTACATCACAACCACCAGATCAAATTAGTCACTTAGCTTAAGACGGTGCTACTATTTAAAAACAAAAACAAGCTTAAAAGAGATGTCTACAAAGTGGATGTGGCTGATTTAGCATTTAATTTATTGGTAACATGGACTATCTTTCTTCACAATGTGTCATTTACCCATTTCAACATGAAAAAAATGTATAATTGGGAATATCTTCCATTTGATAAAATTTGCTCTGAACTTTGAGAGGGTATTTTCTTAATTAAAAACATCATGGTCTACAGAGATATATCAATTCAAAGACACAGCTTCAAATTTTAACCATAAATGTTCAAACCATAGCATGCATCTTTAAAAGCAATTTGGGGCAATTTAATGAAAAATAAGGGTGGCAAGGGTAGTCTACCAAAAAAAGTCATATTCAAAAAGTATTTTTAAAGAAAAATACCACTAACAGCATTAGAGGTATTACTAAGAAACTAACTGAAGAATGTGAATAGTAACAAGAATAAGTGTTCTGTTGTTTTTAATAGTCAGAGGGTCAAATGTGTTTTAATTGCTTTAGTATCAATGGATGTTATTTTATAAGGAATTCTATTTAAAAAAAGAAGGAATTCTATTTTTGACAATGGTTTTAAAAATGGTCTACTAGTATAAAATTACCAATCAAAATAAAATTTCAAAAAATTATGAAGTTTAAACAATGTTAACATCCTATACTCTCGTAACCCTCAAAGGAGTATTCTGGAAGACATATCGGACAGCCTCTAATAAATCCTCCAAATATGTCATCCTAAGACTCTATTAATTTATCATTTAAAAGACCTACCATCCAATTTGCTAAATACTATATTTAAGACTAATGTGATGAAACTGATTCTATTCATGACATAATTTATGGTTTTCTGCACAATTTATTAGTGATTAAATGGAAATTAAAAGACCCTTCCATTAGCTGAAATAAGGTAGCACTAAATCACACAATTATTTATACTGACAGTAATTATTCTCTATTAACACATTAGGAACATCTAAGCTTCCTTCTGGTTCCAATTATAATTTAATAAATATTTTTATACTTAAAATTAAATTCAGATGCAAAAAAACCTAAGTCTGTTTACAAAGAAAATAACAAAACTACGGAATAAAAGAATACAAACGTCAGACTATGGATTTAAATTCCTAAGAAGAGTAAAACAGGCTATAATTTCTAATCCTTTCAAAAGTATAGGCTCAAACTAAAGTTTCAGTGTTTACAGTTTCAGTATTTATTTTTACTGTTTAGTTTCATTATAATTCCTCACCTGTTAATAAGCTCAATTATGAACTCCTTGATTCCAAAAGTAGAAATCTCAATATACTCCTATAAAACCAATTTTATTATGTGTGCTAATACGAGAATTACTCCATACAGAAAGATAAAGATGTAACTTTTACTAGTGATGGTAGTGGTGGACTGAGTGAAGCAGATGACAAAAAAAGTAAAGAAAGATATTACTAATATCATCTTAATTTTTATCTCCACTCCCTCCTTGTAAAATTCCATACATTGTAACATGAACATAGTCCCATTTCTATTGCCTAAAAATATGAAAATAGTAATAAAGCCACAAAGGCTTAAAATAGACAAACAATCTTTTATTTGATTAGGAAATAACTGTCTCTCTAGGGCAGCTGTCAACTAAATTTACCACCTCCCCTCCCCCTTACCTAGAGCACCTGGGGCCAAATGAATAGGCACTACTGACCCAACGACATGGCAAGAAATTTGAAATGCATTATTAATCAGCCAAGTGGGAAAGGCTATCAGTTCTGGAAGATGTTCATAGCCAAACAATCCAGAATGAGGGTCAAGAAAGCAGCTTCCCAAAATCACGCAATAAAATGTAGTTAGTTTTATTACATAGGTGGTTCAAGTACTCTTTTTCTTTTTCAAAATATTACATAAATTATTCAAACTATTTTTGTTATGAATATTTTTATTTCCCTAGTTATAAAGGCACAAAATTTAAATCTTCGATTCACATTTCCTCCAAGGAAAATTCCATACATTGTACCAAAAACATAGTCCCATTTCTATTGTCCAAAATCTATTAGAATAGTAATAAAGCCACAAAAACCTAAAGTACACATACAAGGAAGTTAACTTTATTTTCAGTAGGGTAATTCAACCTGGCTGTTAATATGACAGGTAGCAAGTAAAGGGATACCATGTCAAGAATAAAACCTAAGTGGCCAGAAGAAAATGTTCAAGGGGATTTCCTAGTAAGAAACACAAATGAAAAAGTTAAAAAAAAATAGTTCTACATCTAATTAGAGTATAACATTTCAAAGTATTGGTCTTGAGTCAGAATAGACAAAGAAAGGTGTTATTATCCATGATCTACGTAGAAGTGAGCTGGAGGCTAAGAACTAAAAACCTGTCAACAAGGGACTAGCAACAGAAGTACCTTGCCTGTACAAATCAATCTGGAGAGGCACAAATGGATACTTATTGACCACACACAACTAAGTAACCAAAATATCAGACAAACACAGAAGCTGACACTGGTCGATAACGATCACTAAGAGCTGAGTAAACAAATTGTAATAAGGGGAACAGGAACATTTATTGAACACTTGATGGGTACCAGGTCTTCGGATGAGCATTTATGCATGTCCTTAATCTCTTCTCTACTCCATGACAGAATATAACCATCTTTACCAAGGTTAAAGAATTTGCTGCTCATTAAGCAGCTCATAACCTAGTAAAATTGTGACTCTGGAGTCCACAGTCTTAGCTGCTATACTATACATTCTGCTAAATGTTCTAGAAGTTAAGGAACAACTGGCTAATTCCACCAGTGGATATAATTCCATAACCCTAAATAGCTATGCTTTTACAATGTGCATCTTTAAGCAGTTTATGTTACTTACTTTTCATACAAGCTCTGAAATTCTGTTTTAAAAATAATATACATTACAGCAAATTGAGAAAATACAGAAGAATAGGCTATCACTACACCTTGTATTATGTAGTAAATACCACAACACTGTAAACAAAGAGGTAAAAGTAAAAGGTAACTTTACTTAAGGAACTTCACATTTAGGAAAGATAACCAAAATGAAAACTTACCACTATTTTGGCCAAGATACCATCGTCATTTGCATCTAAGGTCACCACAGCTTTGTCAGTCTCAATTTCACATAATGCATCTCCAGCACTCACAGCTTCACCTACAAAACAAGACTGAGTTTGTTTTGATTTTTTTCAAATATGAATACTAATATATGTGTATAAGATCTGAATAGACAACAAAGTATTCTGTAGCTACTTCTGCTTTGTAGAAATGCAAATAGTACTCACTGCGTGGTGTGTGTATGTATGTGTACATATAAACTTTGTTGTATTTTCCAAAAATTGTATTGTTATAATAAAGTTATTACAAAGATTACTGAGCAGATACTCAAAGTGAAATCACACTTTATAGATAACAGCAACAAATGCATATCCTCCCTGGGGTAAATCAATTCCAGACCCTAAATCTCTCCTTTTAAATACAATTTGACTGCAATGCCATGAAGAGAAGTTTTACCACTGATTATGTTTTTGGGTTAACATCTGAAGGTAAGTTCAGAAGCCCTATTAGCATCACACAGTGTAAATGAATAAAGCATAAAGAGAAAATCAAACACAGCTAGAGTCAAAAAAGGACCATTTCTGTGCAACAAAAAAAATATGGAAACTCAGAAATTTGAGCAGGATAAATGCTACAGACTTACAGGTTTGTAATGCAAAAGCAGGGTTGTGGTGAGGAGAGCAGAAGAGGTACAGAAGTTTTTTCTGGGGAGTAAAGGGAACTAAAAGTAGCTTCCTGGAGCCAGGAGTCTCAAATCAGATTCCCACTTGAAGTTAGGCCAAGTCAAGGTTCTATTACTAATAATATGAAGCTGACAAAATGAGCAATCAAAAACTTGCTAGCTGAGACTATAGCTTTAATCAGAAACAGTGGGTATAGGAAGTAGTAGGGGGAGGACACAAATACACTGCCTCAATACCAGGAACTGACATAAGCCACCCACTAGCTCCAAGATTGCACCTGCCAATATTCTCAAATAATGCAAAATCCAGGGCGTGGGAATAGGACAGGGGATGGACAGAAGGGAAGGCATTGAAACAACCCTTCCACTCAAAAGAAAACCACAACAAAGCTCTGAAATGTATGAAGAAATCTAATGCTAAGAAAAGCAAGGTACAAAATCAACAGCTGGAACAGAAACTGCATTTCAGAAAAGCAATTCATTTAGCATAATCTACCAAAGATTTTAAAGTAAGTATCTTGAAGATGTTAAAAAACACAAATGAAGATAAAAGAGCCATCACAGGCACAAGAAATTAAAAAAAAAAAAAACACCATACACAAATGAAACAAAACTGTATCAAGTAGGAGGGGAAAAAGACTAATTAGACATTTTGGAAGTGAAAATTTAAGTCACTGAAATAAAAATAAACCAATGGGATACATTATAGACAAGACATAGTGAAGGAGTGATATTGAAAGTCACTACCAAGAAACTATCTAGAACTTAATATGGGCAAAAATATTTAAAAAAAAAAAAAAGAGAGAGTTAAGTGATATAGACTGAGCCTGCAAAGTCTGTTGAAAGGAGAGCCAAGGTAAGAGACTGGAAGGGCTGCTGAAGAATACACGATGAGCCTATTGCTGACTCCCAGACTGGAGACAGGAATCTTCAACATGATAGAGATCTGAATGGTTGTACTGGCTAGGAGGGGCATTCTAGGAATACCCTAAATCTTGGTCTTGATGCAACACAGCATATGTATCTAAAAATTAAATGAGCTTACATTTTGTATTAATTATACCTTGACAAAAAATTTGAACAGGAAAAAAAGGAATGCTAGATTGTATAAACACAAAATCCATATTTGATACAATATGGAGAAACTATACACTATCAACAATAAAAACACAATTTAAAAAGCTGTCAGAAGAAAATAAACAGATTACCTCCAGGGAATGACAAACTGAGAGCACACTTCTCAGCAGCTGTAATAGAGGTCAGAAGACAATGAAGTAGTATCTTCAAAATAACTATCTGGAATTTTATATGCAGCCAAACCATTGATTAAGAATCAAAGAAAAGTATTCTTTAGACATACAAAGGCTAAGTAAACTTATCAGTATTGGTGATCACTTTAAAAAGCTCTTACAAGATACAGTTCATTAAGAAAAATGAATACAGAGGGCTCAGGAACACAAGAAACAAGTTACCACTGAAGTTGCTAAAGTGCTATTAACCATTTCAAAGGTAATGTTTGAGGGTTTAAAAAAGTGAAAATTTAAACTTTAAAAAACAAGATACAGACAGCATTCAAAAAAATTACGGGAAAAGTATAAAATAAAATGATCATCTCACAGAAAGCAGTCACATGAAAAAAGCAGAAAATACATCTCTTCACATATTCCCTCAAACAACTGAATAGAGATATTAACAGGCAACACAATAAGAGAATGTGCAGGAAAACCTAAAACGTTAAGTTAATAAGTATGTTCTGAAAGTTCACTGTACAGAAACTTCCAAGATAATCAAATAGGTATATTTATATCCTCAGTTAAAATAGTGCAGCACCACTAATAAATTATGTTAACAAAATAAACACTTGTTAGATGATATTTATTGGTTACCTTAATAGCATCTCATCTAACCCCAAAGTAATATCCCTCGTCAACAAATATTTATTGGAAAATGTACTGAGGCACTAAGGGTGCCTCAAATTTGAAAAACAAATTTAAGTTTCTGACCTCAAGAAGGTTGCTTAATGTCTAAAAAAAGAAGTAAATTGAAAATTGCAGCAGGATAAGGTGAAGTCCCAGTGCTCTAGGAACATTCAGGACAGTCTAATTTAGTTTTTTTGAAAGGTGAGAGGAATTAACTAACTAGAATAAAATGACGCTTCATCTGAGCCTGAAGAGATGAGGCCATAGGTAAATAGGCAGTGATCCCTGCAGGAAGCAACAGGCCCAGGGGCACTGGAGGCAAAGAGGACACAAGCAATAAAGGCAACAGCAACGAGTACAGGAGACAGTGGCTGAGACTAGACTGGTGAGGCAAGCAGGAACACTCCAAAAAGCACCTTTGCAGGCCACACAGAGAAAGCTATGGTGCAGATTAAACAGTCTCCCATGCTTCTTCCTATAAGAGATGTTTTAGTAGTTAAAACAGATTCTATTTTGAAAGGAAAAAGAGCACAACACTCTTATGTTTCAATAAGAGAAACTACTGAACTAAGCAAACTCTCAAATATTTCTTAGATGCCTAGAAAATAAATTCTGGACATAAGAAAACAGAATAAAATTATATCATTTGTTTTCACTCATATTCAAATTCTAACCATTCTTAAAGAATCATGTACAAATTGTAGTTCAGCCATGTAACTTTCTCTGAGTCACTCAACTGACATGCTTTGTTCCTATTCTGAATTTCTATAATAGTTCTAATTTGAAAAGAATCAACAAATTGCATTATAAAATGTTATGTTGGAACTGTTAACCACGATTTAAAAACTGAGGTTTCCTATTAACTCAACTATGTGCTTCTTCACAATAGTAAGAGGACATATTTGTTTTATATCCTACTCACACTCCCCAGGTCTCAGGCCAGTGCCTCAATACTGAATGAATTTTAAGATTAAAATGTTTTTTAAAAGGTGCAGTAACTCCACAGATCCTTATTTGTTCATAAAGCAGACATCAAACTGTCTTTTACATTTTCTTTCGTTCTAACATTTGATTTGCAACATGCTTCTAACATCTAAAAAGATAGGTTGCTCTTTTTCTAAAATTATACCTACATCTACTTGTGTAACACTGACATATATCTCAGCTTCATGAGAATGCTGAGAGGTAGAGGAAGAATATAGAAAAAAATCTACCAATTATTGTCTGATAAATTTTACCAATAAACCACAGCAAAGTTTAAAACATAGTATTATTTAAGAAAACGTTACCGCAAATTTATCACAAAACTGAAGTTCTATCAATAGTCTAACTAATATAAATACCAAAAGAAAAATTTGAGACTAATTAGTGCCAAAGCCCCAAATGTATTGCTTCAGCTTTGATCAAGGATTTAGCGCTGTGATTGAGAGAGGCTATTTGGAAGAGTAGTAACACAACCTATTAACTCAGACTTGAGTTTCATTCCAATCTCAGGCTCTTAAGCTCTCTTAACTCTCAGAAAGATTGCTGAATGTGAGCTGTACAAAAAATATCACGGCCTGTAAGTGTTAATACTGCACATACACCTTTGGATAAGACTTCACAACATGGTTAAGAAAAAATAAAACTAAAGCATTAGGTATGTTACTAACGACCATTAAGAAACAAGATTCATTTTAGATCCCTATCCAAGGTCTGTTATTTCGAACAGATCATTTAACAAGTATTAATGTATAAGGCATCATACCAAGCACTGGGTACCAAAACAACAAGCTGCAGTTTTGTCTGCCAAGAGTTGACAGTCTAATGGAAAAGTCTGACAGAGGCTCACAGACGGTGTGGGGCAGAAGGCTTCTCAGCTGTCACGGTGATGGCTGACTGGTTGCAGGAGATGGCAGGCCTGGAGCATTCCCGTGCCATTCCTGTGTTAGTGGCGGAGGTGGAGCGGGCCCGGAGCGAGAGTGCGGGCCCCAGGAGGGGCCAAAGCAGAGGCCCGCCCGGGGGCCGCTCCCCAGCACCGATGCCAGCAGCATTGTCCTGGTTCTTTATCCAGATGGGTAGCTGCCAGAGCTGAGGATGGCAGTACGCGGAGACTTCCCTCTCTCTTTTAAATTCCAGGTATGAAATACAGTCTCAGACACAATTGATGGTGATGTTTGTTAACTAAACACATACCTAGCTTTCACAAAAATAATTCTGCTCTGCCAAAAAGTTAAGAATAAAAGTCTATTTCAAAGGTGTGTGCGGTGGTAATGGTGGAAGAGGGCTAGCTGTTATCTACATGGACAATTCAGATCTATGTAGACATTAAAGAAAAAAGCATTTTCTTAGTGCTATGTTGAGCCATAGACAACCATGATTAGAGACTAAAATAATTGTTATTTGCTCAACAAACATTTGCCAGCTGCTCCTACAACACTGTGCTAGACAGCATGGTAAATGCTATAATAAAATAACACAGACCTGCTTCAAGAAGTTTCTAATCAGATTGGAGAA